GACAGACAAACCACCGACCAGTTGCTTCTGGGCCGCAACAGGATGACGTCCAGCTGCCCGCCCGTCAACTCCTCGAGCAAACGCAGTGCCTCGCGCCAGCGCAGCGCTTTCTCGCAGGCGCTGACGGCCGCGCTGCAGGCCACCAACTGAGAATCGGTGCCGCAAACTCCGAAGCCAAAGCGGGGAGTTTTCACCAGAAACGAAGATGCTACATGCACCTCGTATGCGCGGCCAGAGAACAGAGAAGGGAGAACGAGAGAAGGCGAGAAAGCGAGAAAGAGAAGCAGAGAAGCAGAGAGAAAGCAGAGAGAGAGAGAGAAGCACCTAACCCATTCTTGCCACACATGTCAAACTTGACATTCCACTCACTCCTTTCCTCCTGCACGCCTTCTTGCCAGCTTGCCTTGCGCTCTCTCCATCAGTTGCACCAGAGATCCAGGATTGTTGAGCCAAGGATATTGGAAGGCGCTTGTCCATGGGTGTATCAGCCCCAAAGAGCCAAGGATCCCCCTACAGACCCCAACCCCCGGCCCGCCGAGAACCAAGACGAAACTCCTCGCCTCAAGACCAAATAACCTCAAGAGAATCCAAGTGATGTTGGCTTGCGTTCACTCCGGTGCCAAATTGCTGGCGTTTTGCACCCTTCTTCACAACATGCACTTGTTTTTGCACAAGGGCAGCACTGTCAACATCCCCGGCATCGTTCTTTTTTGCACCCAGCATCGCTTTCAACACTTGGCGTTGGTTTTGGATGGGCGTTGGGTGGGTTGAAAGTGGGGTAAGGGCTTGTTAGGTGCAAGTTTGAGTTGGCTCGGTTTGTTTAGGTTTCGGGTAGTTTGGGGTTTGAGCAGATGGGCGTGCGCTTGGTTGGTTTGGCTGCGCTTTTGGTGTTTGGGATGGCTTAGGGAGGGCTTACGGTGGGCTTCGGGTGGTATGTGGTTTGCTTAGGGCTTGTTTGGGTTGGTTCCTACAAACCGCAAGTAACAACGAAACAACTTAAGGAGATGTGGGTCAATGGCGCAAGAACCCATGGACAAGCGCCCTGGCTGGACGATGTTAGATTCTTCCAAAACCGGAACCAAGATCAAACCACTGTGAAAACCAAGTGCGCTTCAGGGAAACTGTCGGGGCAAACTTTGGGGGGGAGGGGGAGCGGTCCGAGCTGGACGGGTTGCCAGCAGACAAATGGATTGAATGCTTAAACTTCTCAAAGGGAGTCCCAAGCCTTCCAGCCGCCGACCTCACGTGCCCAAGGCACAGAGTCCACACGGCTGCGTCGCATCTCAGCAAAGAGCTGCAGCGCCCACTGCCACTGGAGACCCTGCCGCTGGTCGGCTTCCAGCCATATGGCTGTGGGTCAAAACCCCAATCGTACCCCCAGTGAACATCCCAATCCCCACTAAAATAGACTAAAATGGGTGGTGCACCTACCCCAAAATGGTACCATTGGTTTTGACCCACAGCCATATGGCCGTTTATACGCCATTTCAATGGAGAAGGACGATGACATGGAATGCGCAAACGGGAAAGCTGTTTGAAAGCTGGAAACATGAAAGTGACGTATGGAAGATTCAAACACTAAACAATGAAGAATCCAGCAAAAGAGCAAGGAATTAGGCAGTATGTCCTAGCTTAGATTCGGCAGCATGTAGAAGGAAACGAGAATGTTTGCTTGCTTGGGTTTGACAGCATGTAGAAGGAAAATAACATGTGCGCCTACAAGATGCTAGCTGCTAGTTGGAGTTTACAACAAGCTAAGGTATCCTAGGCAAAACGGAAGCTGACTTCAATGTATGGGAATCTGATGGTAGACTCTCAAAACTTGCAAATTTGTCGGGAAACGCTCTGTGCTGGTTGTTGGCCACATTCAGAAGTGCTCACACATCGAAAACACATTGCTCGTTAATATTTACATATTCTCTCGTAGTTCGTCCGGCGGACAACTCATGGGGAACGTGGTGTTCGCAGCATGGTTTTTTGCATCTTCCTTTTTGCAATGCATGTTGCTCTGATGGGTATTTGAGGATTTTGGGCCCTTGAGGCACGAGAAGCCGTCAGCGTCTGGGAAGCTGCGCGTTTGGCGGACTCTTGGGGTTTCCGGAGCGGGTGGATGTGCCTGGGTTTCGGATTGATTTCGGGTTGGACGAGGACGATGGCTCATGGCTTTGCCTTCTCCGCCGCAGAGATGGCTGCGCCGTAGGTGACCTCCGTGCGCCGGAGCCGGGTCTCCTCGAGCCGGGGCTCGGCGAAAAGATGCGCTTTGCGCGAGCTCCCTCTTGCAGTTCGTCCAAGACCTCCTTGGAATTGGTAAGTTCCACTGATCGACGCCCAAGACTCGCCAAAAGCGAAAGGACCGAAACGAAGACCGAAACCCCGCGCGAGCGGCGCGCAACGCGGCGTTTCGGGTCCTGCATCGCCTGCAGCAACTGGGCGCTGAGAAGCCACTGCTCGGCCCTGCCCACGGCGGAGATCGTGGCGTTGAAGGAGACGACGTCTGGGAAGACCTCCGCCTCAGACTTGGGGGAAAAGCCGTTCTATGGAGGTTTTGTTTGTGTCGTTTGCGTGTTGTCGCTTCTTTTGTGTTGCTCTATTGTGTTCTTTCTTATCGTCGTGATGAAACGGCGATTTGTTCTGCAAATGACACAGAAGCTGATAGCAACGTCAAAGCAAACAATGGCAGCTGCTGGGATCGCCAAAGCACACTGGGGAAAGGCGCGGAACAAATGGGCTAACAGTTGGATCGATGCAATGGGAGGCAAAGAAGGCCAAAATCAAAAACGAGATCAGCCGGTTCCTTGCCTTTAACTAAAGAAGGAGGGTTCGTGAACCATGGCTTTGGGTCCTCGCTGCAATGTTGACACGTCAAAAGCGGCTTCCTGAAGGACTCAAGATGTAAAATTCCGAGCCTCGGAGGACTCCCGAAATGAGTCAGGCCATTAGCCCGAAACCTGGGCGGTGGTAGCTCGATGCGCCTCGGGAAGCCCAGCGAGCAGCTGCAGGGCATGTTGCCACTCGCCTGCGGAGAGAAACCAAGGCCCGGGCGTGAAGTCAACTCACCCTGTCGAACATCTCTCGTGGCTGTGACTGGCCATTCGGTCAGAATCCTGGATGGTCAAAGAGGCCGTATCTAATCCAGGATGGCCTGCTGATTTCAGCCCCCTCAAGCAGATTTTGACGCATTTCAAGGCTACTTATATTGAGCGACAAAAACATCCCACCCTTCTCGCAGGCGGTGATGGCCGCGTTGTAGGCGTTCACCTTGGCAACCACAATCATCACAGCGCATGGGCCAGCGTCGGCCACCGACCGCGCCACGGCACCGTTTGGGGCTCTTTGAATTCTTGTCCAAGGCTCAAACTCGCCGAGGGGCGTGCTGCTGCAGGCCCGAGCGGCGGAAGTCCTGCAGCACTGCCAAGGCCTGTTGCCACTGCCCGCCTCCGAAGCGGCCAGAAGGTGGGAACTCAACAGAAAATTCTAGGCCATTATCTTGGTCGACGTTGGAAGGGGAGCAAAAAAGAAATGTTAGCAGTTAAGTGGTTTTTTTTCCTAAACCACAATAAGCAAAAATGCAAAATGTTTCCCAACAACAACCATGTTATCTGAACCTACGTTCATTGCTTGCGCCAATTTGCCATGATTCCCATGATTCCCATGATTCCCATGATTCCCATGCTTCCCATGCTTCCCATGCCACACCTCGACCGCAGGCGCTGATCACGATGATGTAGCTCACAGGGCTGGGCTCGCACTCCTTCCTCAGCACCGGACAAGCGAGCAATGGCCCTTCTGCCAACTCCCCCAAGCAGACTCCTCCTTCGAAACACTCTTTTGTGCCTGAAGCCGTACAAAAGCCTGAAGCAGAACCGTACAACAATTCCATGAGACCTCCCGACCACTTTTCATCAACGGCAAAGAGGGGAAGGGGAAGGCATCCACCTTGCGTTCCGCCTGTGATACGGGCTCTGTGACCGTCACAATGGGGGGGGGTTGGCATCTCTTGGCAATTTGCGCTCCGCCTCCAAGCAGTGGAAGTCTGCAAAAAGTAGTGGCACATCCTACTTCTCGGAGTCCCGAATTTTTCTCAACAGTACTGGGTCTGGCGGCACCTGGAATGGGAGCAGCGATTTGCCTAGGAACACTTGCGGCCTTCACAAATAGCTAGGAGAAGAGCAAATACCCTATGCTTCCAAAGCCTACTTTAAAAAAATGGCGTTGTGACCACCCTATTCAATAAATAGTCGACGAAGCATAGGGAATATGGGAAAATGGCTGAAGGTGATCTTGTAACCTGGCCACAGGAGCCCCAGAAACGGCGACAGAACACGCCGCCCGACGCCCGGCGGCTGGGCGAGGCGGAGCACAGCAGCTGGCCAGGGCTGTGCAGCCAAGGCCTGCGCCGAGAAGGCGTAGCATGGGCAAGATGTGGCCGTGGGTGTCAAAAATCGGGTAACCTCAAAATGGGGAAAGCTCTGGTAAATGGACACATGGACTAAAACCTGCGGTCCAATTCCTGGCGGTTTAGTGTTGACCCATACCCATGTGGCATGCCACCTGAAGGCGGTTGCTCGAATGGCTCCCTGGGCACCGGTCAACGCAGCAACGCACATCCGTTTCGTGCACTCTTGATCGCCTGATCGCCGCGCCCAAGGAAAGCGGCTTGCCAATTCCCAGCTCAAAGCTCCTGATTCCAATTCCCAGCTCTCCGTTTCACGAGGTGGCCTTGTTGAAGGAGATCACGGGCCATGTCGCCATGGCCATCCGCGAGCGCGGGCCTTGGGCCAATGCCCAGGTCTTCAACTCAGAGCCCGCAGACCGGATGCTGGGTTGATCCTGCACGAAAGGCGACGGCTTCAACTTGATGGTGTCAAACAGTGTCAAACAGTGCAGTCTTGAAGGCACATGGTTTCAAGGTAGCACCGCCCTTGCAGCCTGTGATGCTTGAAGCAAAGTACATGTCAGATTCTCTCCGCCATTCCTCTGGAATCTAATGAGGCCGGGGCGAAGCACATGACCCAAAAGGTCTCCCGGATCTCCGACCACACCAAGCTCAGCAGGCAGCTGGTCCCCAAGATCTGCCTCAGACTCACACGATTTGCTGATGTCTCGTATTCCTGGCGCTGCCGCCCTGCCAGCTTCAAAACATTGCTGCAAATAGCTAAGGAAACATGCATGGATGTGTATGAAAACCAGGGCGGTGTTCTCCAAATCATTGACTTCCCTGTGGTTTCCTCCGACAACAGACCCCATGTTGCACTTTGCTTCGTGCCTGACAGCGCCGCCGCTGCACGCAAGGGACCACGGGAATTTCGGAAAGTCCATCTCTTGAGAAACGGCTACACAGCCAAGGGTGCCCGGTCTGACCAAGGCCCCCCGCCCAAAGTGAAGGATCAGCGCCATCTGTGCTGCACAGGACCACCGGAGCCTTGACGCCGGAAAAACAGGGACACCAAGGTTTCTCAGCCCGCGCAAGATCCACGGTCAATTCTTTGGGAAGTCTCAAAATCGCGACCTTTCTGTTGGCTGTTTCAAGCAAGCCAAGCAGAAGCTAACCAATTCAATTGGGCATTCGGACATGTCCAAGGGACACCGAGCCTCTGCCACGCAACCATGTTCTGTGCTCGGTGGGAAAATGAATGAGTGACTCCTCTTCCCGTCCCCAATAAACCAGATGTCTGTTCTCCCAGGTGCAGCTTGCCATCTTCCGGGTACACCTCAGCTATCGGGCCACTGCCATCCGCAAGCGCGCTCCGAGGATCCGAGGCCAGGGCCAGATGGGCAAAGTACAGCCCCAGTGCCACCAGTTTCAGGAGCCGCTGGTAGCCTGGGACGTCGACTGAGTGAAGCCGCAGGGCATTTTTTTCTGCATGGGGGTAAGCTGTTGCTCAAAGAACTCGTCGATCAAGTCGGAATGGCAGTCGGCATTCGGCAGCTGTCAAAAACAGAAATCCTTCAGTGTGAGTGCCTTGACACGGATTAGCACCGAGCGGAAGACGAGCGAGCCAGCCTCTACAGCCCTGGGGATGGCCCGCCCCGTCCCCCCGTTGACGGAACCGCCCCCGACGGAACCGGAAGCCGAGGGGCTGCACAGAAACCGCAGCGGCGAGCAGTGGCAGGACCGGGAGGGGTTCATGAAGGCTGTCACCAGCCGGCCTCGCCCACCGAACGCAATTGGGTATGGGTCAAAAAAATAACCACCAGCATATGAACCGCAGGTTTTTTGTCTGTGCGGCAGAAGATGAGGAACCCGGGCTTAGCCCTATCTTCTCAAGGTCATTCATTCAACATCCAAAGTGATGGAACCATGAGCCCTGGTTCACAAGCAAGTGCAAGAGATTGGACTACTCACGTGGACTAATCACTGCTGCCATCCAAACAGTACCACTCTACCCAAGGAGCAATTCGCATGCAACGGTTTTTGCTTTTGACAAAAATCGACCCAAAAACCAGCTGTCCCCGGCCGCGCCCCCACTGCCCGCATCCCATCCCTCGGGCCAAGGAAGTTCAGCATGAAGAAGCTGGCCAACGGGAGCATGGCCACGTCCCAGACCACCGCCTCACATCGACCGAAAGCACAAGCTTCAGCCAAGTAGAAAATACGAGGTGGCTGAGTCGTCTTATCATTCTGTGTTTTTTTGCAAGAAGGTCGAACTCACAATGGTAACCCCGGATTTATAAACCTCTGTTGATTAAGAAGGGGGTGTCCCCTTTTAGTCGGGGGTTCATCGCTTTTGACTTTTGGAGAGGAACCCCCCCGTATAAATAGGATGGGCTTATTCATCTGGGGTCAACGCTAGCAAACTCAATGTGCAAAACTTGAAAGCAAGTCTCCAGAACGTCAAAGCGTTTGATCCTGTGATCTACGATTCAGGATTGCAGATTCGCCAAACAGTTGGCTCTTCAGCCATGGCCTGGAAGCATAACAGTACAAACGTGCTTGTGGCATGATTGCGATGTCGCCCTGTCGCGCTTGCATTTCTTTGGTTCCTATGCTTCCACTACAAGGCGTCCCTCCAATGTGCGAAACAAACAAAACATGAAGGGCCTTGGACTCCTGATTACCTGTTTTGATTACTTGGTATGTTTAAGTGTTGCCAAACAATTGGACCTGATGCCAATGACTCGGCCGAATTTCCATCCGTTCTAATTATTGAGTTTGCGGATGTTCACTTTGCTCACTACTCACCCGAGCCCCGAACCGCAAACCCCGCGAGCCCACATCATGCTCCCAGCTGGCCTTGCGCACTACTTTTCAACGGTTTCGCCAGTCTTGGCGCTCCCAAAACCCCAAAACAGCAAGCCGCCTTTGAAGACCCCCACGAAACCAGACAAACACCACCCCGAAGCCCGCGCGCGACGATGCAACAAGGAGCCGAAATCAGACACAACGCCGCTTCCCTCCCCTCTCTTTCTTGTTTTCGTTCTCTCTCTCTCTCTCTCTCGCTCTGTCTCTCCAGCCCGCGGAAAAGAAAACGCCAAAACAACGAGTTCGCAGAGGCTTCTGCGAGCGAAATGAAGGGTTTCGGAAAGTTTGGGCGGGCCGACCTTCAAGCTGAACGGCGTGCAGCTCGCGCAACTAGCACACGATGCAACTGTCGTGCTCTTTCTGTCGACCCACCAGAAATGACAAAAGGGTTCACTGCTTGGCGACGAAGGGCGAGTTCATGCACAGAGCCAGGCCTGCTTCTGCTCCCCAGCCCTCGCGCTTCCCAGCTTTTCTCAGCTTTTGTGCGTAGCGCACATATCCTGGAAGAAGGCATGCTCAACTAGTCTTGGCAACCGGCGGTCGGATGTTTCTAAAACAAAAAACGCTAGTTCTGTTGCTCTGTCTTTTTCTTTCGCCCCTTTTTTGTCTTTCCATTGCTTCTCTTATGTCCGTCTTTCTTTTGTGTGGTTCTTCTTTCTTTCTTTCTTTCTTTCTTTGTTTCTTTCCTTCTGTCTGTCTGTCTGTCTGTCTGTCTGTCTGTCTCTCTGTCCGTCTGTCTGTCTTCCGTCTGTCCGTCTGTCCGTCTGTCCGTCTGTCCGTCTGTCCGTCTGTCCGTCTGTCCGTCTGTCTGTCTGTCTGTCTTTCCTCCTTTGTTTCTTTCTTTCTTTCTTTCTTTTCTTTCTTTCTTCCTTCCTTCCTTCCTTTCTTCCTTTGTTATCTTTTTTTCTTTTATTGTTTTCTTTCTTTCTCTCCCTTTTCTTGAGTTCGTGCTCTTTCCTTTCTGTCTTTCTGTCTTTCTGTCTTTCTGTCTTTCTGTCTTTCTGTCTTTCTGTCTTTCTGTCTTTCTGTCTTTCTGTCTTTCTGTCTTTCTGTCTTTCTATTTACATATCTATTTCTCTGCATCTCTATCTCCATTTCTCTATCTATCTGTCGTTCTCTCTCTCTTCTGTCTCTCTATCGCTGTCTATCTATCTATCTGTCTATCTATCTATGTATCTATCTATCTGTCCGTCTGTCTGTCTCTCTCTCGCTCTCTTTCTCTCTATCTATCTATCTATCGATTGATCTCTCTGTCTTATTTCTCTCACTCTATCTATCTCTTCATTTCTCTATCTCCTTTCTACCTATCTACCTACCTGGCCAGGGGTGGTTGACATCGACGCGGGCCCGCCAAAACTCGCAGAGGGCCACTCTTTTTGCGATTTCTATTCCCCCGCCACACGCCCACGTACTGCGAAAGTTTCTAAACTTCCTTTTTCTGCGGATGGTCTTGCTAAACTTGCTTTGGTCACGCGCTGAGTTTGAACCAAACCTTTGTTCATGTGTGCTATATTTCTGATAGATGTGCGATGTGTGGTTTGCCTTTCCGACTTAAATTTCACTTCGTTGAACAACACATCCTCCTCCCCGCCTGCGGCCGCAACTCGGGGATGGTCCGCAAGCCCGCGAGGCCCACGTGCAACTGGCGTCAGAGTGGCACGTGAACACCCACGGCATCTAGAGCAGGCCAGTCCCACTCTTTGGAGTATGACATGCAAATTGACAATGGAGCGTTTCACGCGTAATTTACCGTAAGATACAATTTGCCATACCAAATAAAAGGCTGCACGTGCGCAAGTAGTGTGTACCTTTTGTCAGGCTGTGTTTGTGTGTTTGTGTGTTTGTGTGTTTGTGTGTTTGTGTGTTTGTGTGTTTGTGTGTTTGTGTGTTTGTGTGTTTGTGTGTTTGTGTGTTTGTGTGTTTTGTGTGTTTTTGGTGTGTTGGTGTGTTGGTGTGTTGGTGTGTTGGTGTGTTTGTGTGTTTGTGTGTTTGTGTGTTTGTGTGTTTGTGTGTTTGTGTGTTTGTGTGTTTGTGTGTTTGTGTGTTTGTGTGTTTGTGTGTTTGTGTGTTTGTGTGTTTGTGTGTTTGTGTGTGTGTTTGTGTGTTTGTGTGTTTGTGTGTTTGTGTGTTTGTGTGTTTGTGTGTTTGTGTGTTTGTGTGTTTGTGTGTTTGTGTGTTTGTGTGTTTGTGTGTTTGTGTGTTTGTGTGTTTGTGTGTTTGTGTGTTTGTGTGTTTGTGTGTTTGTGTGTGTGTTGTGTGTTTGTGTGTTTGTGTGTTTGTGTGTTTGTGTGTTTGTGTGTTTGTGTGTTTGAGTGTTTGTGTGTTTGTGTGTTTGTGTGTTTGTGTGTTTGTGTGTTTGTGTGTTTGTGTGTTGTGTGTTTGTGTGTTCGTGTGTTTGTGTGCTTGTGAGTTTGTGTGTTTGTGTGTTTGTGTGTTTGTGTGTGTGTGTGTGTTTGTGTGTTTGTGTGTTTGTGTGTTTGTGTGTTTGTTTGTTTGTGTGTTAGGTGTGTTTGGTGTGTTTGGTGTGTTTGGTGTGTTTGGTGTGTTTGGTGTGTTGGTGTGTTGGTGTGTTTGTGTGTTTGTGTGTTTGTGTGTTTGTCTGTTTCTGTGTTTGTGTGTTTGTGTTTGTGTGCGCGTCTGCGCTTGCGTTTTTTGTGTTTCGTGTGCGTGCCTTTTTTTTGAGCGTGCGTTAGTGTTTGCGTGTGCGCTTGAGTTGTGCCTGCGTTTGTGTTTGTGCTTGCGTTTGTGCTTTTGCTTGTCTTTGTGTTTGTGGTTTTGCTTGCGTTTGCCTTTGCGTTTGCTGTTGGATTGTGTTTGTGTTGCTGCTTGCGCTTGTGTGCGTGTTTTGTGTCCGTGCGTGTGTGTGTGTGTGGGTGGGGAGAGGGGGGGCGTGTGGGCGCGCGTGCTCTTGCGCGTGCGCGTGGGCGTGGGCGTGGGCGTGTGGGTGTGTGCTCGTGTGCGTGTGCGCATGCGTGTGCGCGTGCATGTGCGTGTGGGTTGGTGGGTGTGTGTGTGTGTGTGCGTGTCTGCTTTGCATCTCTGGTTGCTTGTTTGCCTGCTTGCCTGTTCGTGTGTTGCATTCTGTGCGGCGAGCACACGGCCCTCGTACCAGGATGCTGTAAAGGTGTACCCGCGTTGAGCGCACGAGTTCAGGCGCACCATGCGAAATCGTTTGCTGCGCTGCAAGCGCACGCCTAACCAAATAGGTTGACAAGGGTTTTGACCAGAAAATGTGCTTCGAGGGGTTCCCTATCAAAATCCATAAACAGTTATTTGGTGGGCTCGGTAGTTCCATCTGATCTTCACAGAAGTGGGAATGGAAGCCCACTAAGATGGAATTCAAGGGCCTGCAGTCGGGCATACTTCATCAAAAGCGGCGTAAAACCCAAAACGGGCCCCAAAAGGAGATTCCTCGAGATTCCTCGGTGCGTGCTGCACCACAAGTGTGGGTACAGAATTGCGACCAGGGACACCCTCCACTCATGGATTGCCCTTGCTTTGGATTTGGTTGGCACCAGAATGACAACACACATTTGGGGGATGTCCCCAAATGGGATGCGAAATGGGTGGCTTCCCCCGTGCTTTTCTTTTGAAATCAACAAACACGTAGCAACAAGAACAACCCCCTTGAACAAGCGATGCGGAGCATTGCCAAACCCTCGCGGACTTGCAGCCAAGGGGCCACGGTGGCGGTCCCGAGCACCTGAAACCCGCTGATTCTCTTGAAAAGAAAATAAATTACGCCAGCGTAGACCCCAGATAGCCCCAGAGCACCCAGCCGTCAATCTTGCAAATCACTTTCCCCTCTTTATTGGAAGTTAGAACCCCTATAGCTTTCAGCTATCTGGGGAATAAGAATGGGAAGGAGATTCTCAAAAATAAATACAAATAAGTGAGAATTCACAAATACATCAAAATGAAAAACAGTGAGAAAAACATTGAATGCAGGTATTCAAACTCTTCCAGCAAATGTGTGTGTGTGCGACAGCAAGCGCTTCAAGATTCCAATGACAGGGTTCCCTTCTTTTCCCATCAAAAACATCGCCTTTGAATAGATCCCAAAGGAACTCACTTTGAAGAGGTCCCCTGTCCGAGGCCCGAGGCCAGGCCAACGGCTGAAAGAGAACTACAGGGCCCGGACGAAGTGGTACTGCCTGGGCGCGCACGGGAATGTAGCCGTTCGCAGTTTTGAGCCAAGCCATTGTTCCGTCCTTCCATTTCGAGTGAGAACCCAGGATTCAACCTCTGGTTGATTGGTGAGTGAGGGCATTCGAATCGGTCGCATATCCCAAGTCAACGATTCCATTTCATCTTTCTGGAGTCAGCTTGCGCCTGGCAATGAAACCTTGCGACCCTGCACTTGCCGATTAAAGCTCCTGTCAACGGATGACGATACAAGAAGGAGACGCGGCTTGCAGTTGGTTGCTGTTGACCCCTCTGCAAAAAGTGAATAACTGTTTTTGCGGGTTTTAGTGGAAAACCCCTTCATTTCAAACCAAGAAGTTAAAGTCTAAAGATCCGTCGCCCAAATCAAGAAGTGGCTGTGGGTCAAAAATGGGCACCCAACATGGAACCCTGGTAAATGGAAAAATGGACCAAAACCTGCGGTCCAATTCCTGGTTCTTTAACTGACCCACACCCCTAAATTTCCGGAGGCAGTGTTTCAAAGATAAATTTCCGGAGGAGGCCACAATTCCATTTCATCTTTCTGAGTCGAGTCAAAAGTTAAAGTCCAAAGATCCGTGGCCCAAGAACAATCAAGAAGTGCGCACTCCCGTCAGGACGTTTGCTGAGAGGCTCGTTGGAGTGCAGTAGCCGCAGCAGCCGCGCCAGACCTCCGATCGGATCGGGCTCTGCCGGGGAGAAGGGTCTCCGCAAAGCAACCTCATTTGGGAGTGGCTCAAAATTAAGCAACTGGAATTACGCAGGTTGTAGTCTTTGGTTCCATATGCCAAGGTGCCATTTTGGCACATGTTTTCGACCCACTGCCATTTCTGGCATCCATTTTCTGGGCTCCATGTCACTTTGCAAAAGAGTTGCGAGTCCCCTATCGCCCAGATGAAGATCAGCGGTCACCTTTTGTACATGTTGTCAACACTCAACACACTCACGTCACATTCCCTTTTAGCTGCTCGGGCGCCGCAGCTGCGAATCAACCAGTTCCACTTGCAAGTGGAGTGCCACTTCTCAGCCGAGTCGGTTGCACAGCATCTGGGGTTCGAGGCTTCCCATCTTCCAAAACCTCCAAAACCTTGGGTTGGTGACCACCTGTGAATCGACCGGCGATTCTACAGCGCCACTTCTCAGCCAAGTCGGTTGACTTCCCGCGCCTGGGTACTTGAGCCTCGCCAGGCCCACCTTGGTGAGCTGGCCCCGGTGCGCCCACAGAGCCTGGTCCGCCACCTGCCTCAGCGCCAAGATGGCGAACGCCAGGGTCTGATGTGACCCGTGTTCGACCCTGGAAATGAAGGAAACTCCAGTTTTTTTCGGGCAGGAAACCTGCAACATACCCCAACCATTTGGGTTTTTGTGATGGTGTCCTAGATTCCTGAGCGACCATGGCGAAGAATGAACCTGAATGGGTTGCTTCAAATGCCAATGAGCTTCCAGTCATCTTCGAAGCAAAGGGCCCCTTTAGCTTTTCAGAAAAGCGGGCAGGCCAGAACACCAGAAGGGATTAGAGGCAATCGAACTGACGTGTTGAGGGACAGATGCATCATGGCCACTGGGGCAAATAAGAAGGCCCCAAAAATATTGAGCCTGGCGCAAGCCACGGGAAACACATAAGTTTGTATCCCAACACGTTTCATTGGCTGACACGTGCTACACACTGTGAGGCGCCTGGCCTGAAGCGCCTTCTCAAGATGATCCGCCGCAGCATACGCACGATCTTGGTCATGGCCTACAAGGGGACAGCTGCGCTTTCAAAAGGCTTTGACAGTGTTACAGAATTTGATTGGATCAGATGTGCTTGGATCAAATCGGCTAATCCTCCACACCCCTGCGAGGCGCTGCCCAGTTCACGAGAGCTGGTACAAGTCAAAGGCGTACAGTGCACAAAGGTTCATATCCAGACCCGTAAACCTTACACCAGCGTTCATGCCTGTGGTTGCTGCAGGTGCTAGACCCAACCTGAATCATAGCGCTTTGCACCCTCTCAAGACCAAACTCATCAACAACTATCCTGATTTGAATTGGGCATGGTCTCACGGTTTTTGCAGTTTGTGGTGCAGTAGAGAACCTTTAAACGTAGTTGGGCACTATGTTGATGAATGTCTCTCTAATGAGCCCCGTCCATCCACGTGACACTCTCAAACCCTGTAAACGGCAAAATGCTTCCTTCTGCTCCAAGCCTTTACCCAGAAGACCATCGGGTGCAGGATTTTTTTTTCGGGACAAAGATATTGACACCGGGTCAATAAAGATACTCACAAGGCCAAAAAAAATCTCGCCCAAGGGTGCCAAACGCTGTGGTTTACATCATGTTCAGGCACAAGCGCAGCACTGTCCACAAAACTAGCATCGGTTAAATCTGTAGCATCGATTCTAACCCCTCCCCCCCCCCAGCATCGCCAAAGAGCATTTTGGTTTGGGTCTAGAGTGGGTTTAGGGTTGGTTTGTTCAAGGTCGCTCGGGGTTGTCCAGGTTGGTCTAGGGATGGTTTTCGCTGGGTTTAGGGTTGGTTTGGCGTGGGTGCCGAGAAGGCTTCGGGAAGGCTGGGTGGGTTTAGGGTTGTCTTTAGTTGCGTGTTAAGGTGTGGCTTGGGGATGGTTTAGGCTGGGTGTAGGGTTGGCAAAAAGGTGACGCAGGGCTAGCTTCAAGGTTGGCTTCAAGGTCTGTTTAAGAGGGCGGGCAGGTTTAGGGCTTGTTGAGTGGTTTGCAGGTAGAGAAAGAAGAGAAGACAAGAGAAAAGAAGAGAAAAGAAGAAGGAAGCTGCAGAATATGCAGCGGCGTCCGCCGCTTTTTCCGGCTTTTGCAGCCATGAAACCACCGGACGCGGTCTCGGCCAACTTCTACACCTTCAAGCTTCTCGCTTTTAAGGAATTCCGAACCGACAGGTGGGGTTTGCTTTTTTTGCTGGCACTGCGAGAATGACAATTTTCCCTGCGGGTTGTGAAACGCCCGCTTCCCTAACAAAGTTGCCGAGTCAGCCCAACTTTGATTTTAGGGCTGTCTGGTCCGCAGCTACGCGTACCTCTGGACTTGGTTTAGGGTGGGTTTAGGGCCGGTTTAGGGCCGGTTTAGGGCAGGTCAACGGCAGGTTTACGTTGCGCAGGGTTGGCTTCAAGGTTGCTTTCAAGGGTTTATGGTTGGCTTAGGGCTAATTTAGGTTGCATTTGGGGCAGGTTAGGGTTGTTGGTTTAGGGTTGGTTTAGGATTCGTTTTGGGTGGGTGTAGGTTTGGTTTAGGGTATGTAGGAGACCAGTAGACCAAGAGGCAGGAGACCGAGCGACCACACAATGAGGGGGAACCAAAAAATGGTTGCCTGATGTCCTGAATGTAGTTTGTTGATCTCGTAATCATGTGTGTTTGATGGTCATCGCCTGCTGGCTCAAAATGATCCAAAAGGAACATGAGCATCAAACAAAAGGAATGTGCGGATCCATTAGTTATTAAGTTCTTCATCCCCCCCTTCCCCCCCACGGACGCCCCACGGACGCCCCACAAACGCCCCGATTAGCTTGGCGGCCGAGATGGAGTCGTTGTCGTCATCGTCGTCCAAACGGGCGACGGGCGACGGGCGCCGGCCTGGCGTCGCTGCCTGGCAGCCACGAGGCGCCGCTTCTCCAAGGCGTCGTGGAAGGCTGCGGCGAGCATCGCCGCCGGCATCGTCACGAAGGCCCAGGCCAGGAACAGCGAGCCTCGCTCGAGGCGAAGGCCAGCGGCAGGCGAAGGCCAGCGGCGACTGGAGGCGACTGGAGGCGACTGGAGGCGACTGGAGGCGACTGGAGGCGACTGGAGGCGACTGGAGGCGACTGGAGGCGACTGGAGGCACCGGGTGAGCCCCACCCGGGGGGGGGGGGGAAGTTCAACCGGGGCAAGCGGGTGAAAAAAGGCAGACGGCTTGTGCAAAGAATCGGGAGGCCAAGAAACCGGGGGACAAGACTCGATCTGCTTAGCAACATGTAACGCCCGTTTAACATATGAATAACACCCTCAAGATAATCAACATAAATTGAAAAGCCTGTGGAATACCTGCCATGTTTGTTGGGTCATTACTTTGAAAAACTGTTGGCCCTTTCCGCTGAAAACCTACCAATTGTGGGCTGACGGAATAAAGTTGTCGGCAAATGCGTATCCACTCCCCACAGGAGAAAATCGGACATAGTGGCAGTATGCAGATTATAAACATGTTCTTGCAGGTGGTAGAAAAGCGAGGAAAAGCAGCGCAACAGTTTGCGGCAGCCGGATGGAGATTCATTCTCCATGAATTTCCTGGTAGTTCTCGGCTTTGACTTGCTTTTCGTAAATATCGAGGTTTTTTTCGTGAAGTCGCCTAAAACTACTAAAGCTCCTATATTTTGGTCAGATTTCAGAATTGGTACGGTTTCACGTTTTCCCCGCCCAGAATTACCCGCAAAACGCCCGCAAACGCCCGCAAAACCCCGCAAACGCCCGCAAATCAGAAAAAGACGCTTTTTGGGCTTGGGAGTTGCGCAAAACTCCTAGAAACCACTTAGAACGCCCGACACGCCCAAAACTACCAGGAAACTAAAACGCCTAGGAAAAGGCCGGAGAATGAATCTCCAGGATGGGGAGGGAGGTGCGGGGCACGGTGATGGACAATTGATCCAAATGAGAGCTAGGGGCAGGACGGGGGTTGGAGCAATGAATTCCCGGAAGACGCGAACGATCGAGGCAAGCAGCACATGTGCACGACCCGCACTTTGACTGGGTACTCGGTCATGGGGTAGTCGCCGCTCATGTGGATCAGCCTCAATGACAACTGAAAGACCCGACACAAGCGATCTCATCTCCATGAGATTGCACGTAACAGGTACATGCCCTTGTCACGAATCAACGAAGCAAAGCAAGGCCGCCCCTTGTAGCCATTGGACGGCCAAGCCACGTGAACTGCATCGCGTACCTCAGACAGCTGGAAGCTTGCTCCGCTGCGAACATCGAGCAAATGTTGAAGGAATTCAAAGCATTCATGCGACTTTCGATCAAATTGGGCTGAGATGCCAGTAGTTGCTGTACCAGCAGGCGAACGTCTTGTCCTCGCTCTCCACCTCAAACTCGCTGTGGAGGAAGTACCAGTTGTACCTGTAAGAGGTCTATCCCAGCGCCCTATCTGGCCAAAGCTGGGAGCCGTTCCAAAAAATGTCCTTGTCCATTGCAACGGATACCCTTCGAAAGCTGCTAACCTTAGAACCCTGTAGTTTCTTGAGATATGCCGACCACCCGCAACCCGCAGCCCGAGAAAACCCCCAATCAAGCAAGCAACAGCAACGACAAGCCCTTCCGCCCTTCGCGGCACGTGGCCATCATGAACCAAAAGCTGAGCAAGACGTAGAAGACTTGTAGGAGCTGATAGCCGCGGCTCACCAGAACCTAAGCGGTGCAAACTCAAAAACAATCTTCAGGAGTATCCATGAACGCTGAAAAGCGAACCCCAAGTTTGAGGCTTGCCCCAAACAAGGAGAACACTGCTCCCTTGCACCTCTGGTGTCACTGCAACATGCTTGCGTGGGTGGTTGGACAATCCCTTGCACGCCAGTGCCTCATAAACAAGTCCAAGCTGCATGTCCTAGCAAGCTTGCTCTGGGTTGCAGATCCGATCCTCTTTGAACACAACAGCTCCCAATACTGTATCAAAGTTGCGTTGCTCAGGATCGCACGTGATGTCTTGTTTGATCACCCTTGCATCTCTCCCACACTCTCATGTATCTCGTCCCAACTTTCCAAATCCTTACAATATGATTATTGTCTGTGGTACAGTTGGGGTATGGGAAAGGTAACAGGGAATAGGAAATGAAAAACAAAATGGAGAAAAGAAAAAGGAAAGACGTGGAGAAGATAAATAGTGTCTATCCTGTAAGTCATGCTTACATGTCAAAAGGATTACAGATAGACAAAATGATTGTGACAAGAAGAAGGAACAAGCAAACGCACAATACATCGTTAACATTAAACATCTAGACATATACTATGTCGATTTTAAGTGTTTGGTATATTACGCGTTGATAATCTGCGCTCATCGTTGGAATCTCCGGCTTCGGTACAGTAATATCAGTCCTTTTAAGAATTGACATAATAGGGCTTTCTTATGATCTTACTTTCAGTACTGCCTGGCTTGTTTGGAACAGTTGGAATTTGTTTCGTACCTATCTTTCAAGCATCTCCAGAAGTGGTATATCCTAGAACCATGGTTTTGTCCATCATAATTCTCTTACTTTCATATCTCTTCCTAACCCTTTCTTTTCTCCTGAACTTGGAGGTGGTACAGGATGGACCTCCGACCTCCCCCCCCCCCCCTGATGCGGACCAGTACCCCGCTGACCGAGCGGCTCCCAGCACATCGCGGAAGGCGGGGACGAAGCGCTCCAGCGCCAAAAGCCGCCAGATCCGCAGAGTGCGCGCCAAGTTCATCCACCCGTAGCCCACCGGCGCCCCTCGAGACGAGGACTCACGCGCGCTGACGCGTTCGAGGACGAGGACTCACGAGTGCCAGGTTTTCAGGTGCACAGAAATGGGAATGGGTCAAAAGTGAAGGCTATGGACCGACTTTTAGTGGACCCGTGCTTCCATTTACCAGGGCTCCATTTTGGGTACCTATTCTTGAGCCACAGCCAAATGTGCCTCAAACAGAGGACGCGAAATACATCATAGAGGCCGCGCCGCTGAGCACGCTTGGGGCACTGAAGCCGCGGCATTTTGTGGCCGATATGCGGGTATCAAAGTGGCCCAATGATCCTCTCGACTTATCTCTAGGATTCTCTAAGGATGGTGCTGTGCCCGAAGCACCCATGCAACGCTTCGAGTCACCCAACAAGCCACGACCATAGGGTGCCGTTTTCTTCCCGCGCGACCGGCCTGCAAGGAAGGCCAGCGTCACCGGCAGTGAGCCTGGAGGTCTCCGCCAAGCCAAGTCTCGACTCGGCACCCTTTGTTTTCCTGGGGTACGAAGAATTACCTCTTGCCTGGGACCTATAGCTAAAAACATGCCAAACTGCGACATCTTGTGATTGGTGTCATAGAGTCATAGACTCTCCTCTCGGGCAAAATAGACCTCGATCCCTGTGTTTGGTTTCTACATCTTGACATTGAACCTGCCTGATGGTGAATGGCCGCGTGGAGCAAACAACAAATCGCCGTGGCCGCGCAGCGAAACCGTCCCCATTGCACGAGTCTCAGTCGGGGGGCCTGGGCCCATTGCCATTGTAGGAATGGACTAGTTCCTCTGAGAAATCCCCTCCCAAAGAATAAACAAAGGTGAAAAAGAAAAACAACTTGTTTCCCTTCGACCAGCGTTTTGCGGTTAAAGGGCCGCAACTCAAAACCCCCAGCGAATCCCACGCTGCCCACTTCTCCGACGCCCTCTCGGCACCTAGCGCCAGCAGGTCCGCGAGGGTGGTGGGGTGCAGCAGCAGCGCCCAGGGCTGTGGGTGGCACCAGAACCGCGCGCCGAGCTCTGCCAGGAACCCGAGGCTGCAAAGCCTGGGCTCGGATTTTGGTTGCAGGGAGTTGGGAAAAGGATGAGCTGAATTGGACTTTTGGCAGATTTGGGGGGAGGGCAGCTCCTGTTGGACAGAGTGAATAAAGAGACACCATTGGCAAGCCAGCTTTTGGTGTCAGGTGTTTACACTCCAGTGCCAAGGCTCTGGCAAACCAAGCCGAGAGGTTGTTTTGTGACATGCAGAATTCGTCACCCGACTCATGGTCTTGGGAACTCCGTTTCCAGGTTCCCCAAACCGCCCCGCTGTCCAAGCCGCAGCGCCAAGCCGGACAGGCCCCGGCTGAGTGAGCTGCACTGCTCGGCCAGCCAAACGAAGCCCAGGCCGGTGTCGAATTCTCCACTTTTGCTGCAGTCGTCCTGACCCGGCTGTGGCTCAAAAACACGGTACCAAAAGATGAACCCTGGTAAGTGGAAACATCGAAACCTGCGGTTTGCCCCTGATCGTTTAATTTGGAGCCACACCCACCCGACGTCCGAACGTCCGCATCGGAGATGCGACAAGTTGCCGCCGAGAGACAAAGTAGGAAAGTGTCTCCTTAGGTCGGCAGCTTTAAGTTTCACCTGAGGGTTCTATCTTGTTTGGATGGCCACAGGCCTGAAACTCAGGCTAGAAATTGGCCTGCAGGATGCTTCAAGGTGCCCAGCATCGCATCATTCGAAACGCCCAATGTTGGCTTTTGCAACACCTGTGTGGGCAAGATGCTCCTCGAATCGTCAAGCATGCCCCCTTTGATCTCCTTCCTGGTCTTTGTCGTTTCCAGCGGACGGGTTCGGACCATCGGGGATGTTTTCTCGTTCCCAGAAGCTGACTGCCTGGAGCAATGTGAAATGCTCCAGGGTTGTCTTGAGCGCCCAGAGTCGACACAGGACGTGAAGCAGCAAAGCGCGGTGTTGAAGATGATGGCGTTCTGCAACCACCGGGCATTGCGGCCGTTGCCTGGCAAGAGATGAAACAGCTCCGCTTTGCACCCCTCCAGTTCAAATGCCTCCATCTGCTTGATAAAACTTGACAGGCTCCCTCTGTGGAAGATGCTTGGCCAATCTGTCAAGTTCAATGCGACTGTGACACCAAGCCAAAAAGACGTCCCCAACCACCAGCCCGAACTGTCCAGGCACGCCTGGGTGGGTCTTTCCCATGAGCAGGCGGTAGCACTTGTACCTCCACGTGCCCGGGCGCAGGCGCATGAGGTTCTTGTCCTCCACCTAGAACGGTCAATGCGACGCTTGCCGATTTTATGGTGGCCAAGACTGGGCATCCGGGGAGGGCTCGGGGAATGTAGGGCTTTGCTGCCGAAGGCGCGTCGTAGACGTCGCCTTACTCCGCTCAAGCCGATTTGGAGCTGGGCTGCGTCACGTTCAGACCCCGACACCAGAACGGTTGCTTGACACCCACAAGAGGGAAGTTCTTCGGTTCACCAAGTGACAGATGCCGCCTACGATGCACCAACTCAACAAATGGCTGTGGCTCAAAAAACCGGTACCAAAATGGAACCCTGGTAAGTGGAAACATGGACCAACACCTGCGGTTTGCCCCTCCTGGGTAATTTTGAGCCACACCCAAATGGCGACTCAAGCGCCAGTTTTGGATTTCGGGCCATCAGGCGAGCGGCGCCAAACGCCGCAGGCGCGCTCCTGCTCCAGCATGCTGAAGGCGACCTCGGCGCAGACAAACACAAGGAATTGCACAGCATTGTAAATGTAGTGCAAGGCATGTAAGGCAGGAGTTGGCGTTGAGGCTGAATCAAAGGACCGGAGATCTTTGGGTCAGAACTTGGAGAAGAAAACCCAGAGGTCATCCAGCTTCCGGGCCAGGCATTGCCAGCCGACGAGCGGCAGACATGCTCCGGTACTGCTCCTGCAAGGTGAAGCAACGGAATTCATGGAGGGCAAACTCTGAGATTCCGAGTCAAGCAGACCCTTCACCAGGCCCAGCTCCCGAAAGCAGGCAATAAGCTCTTAAAATTAGGATGTTTAAGAGCGTGTGCCTTAGCCTTCTACCTCAACTGGGCGAGGGATGGGGCGGTTCCCCGATTCCATCTTGAAATCTCCCTCGCACACAAAAAATCGGAGGAATCTTGTGGAATTCCTGGTTCCCAATTCCACTTTATCCGGGGGGGGGAAGAACTTCACCCTAAAGTTGTACTTCGTACAGACCTCATTTGAATTGCAGAAGCTCATGACCAACAAGCCCTTGACCCCTGAAGAAGAGTCCCTCAATCTGAGACTCTGCCTGGGCCAAAGCGAAGGCCGTCTCGCTGACGCGGCGCCCGCAGTGCCGCTGCTCCTCCTCCGGCCCGGGTGCAGACCTGGAGCGAACGTCCGACGCGAGCGCGTCGAACGCGTCGAACGATGTGCCGACGGTCAATGCCATCTCCGTCGAAAGTTCCCAAGCCAACCGCGGCATGCAGTAGGGCAAACGCAAGGAGACCCTTCTCTCGATGCATCGGAGTGTGTGGAGCGTCCCCCTCATGGGCACAAGTGCCACGCTAGAGTCTCCGCTAAAGCGAACAAACGCACGGCAAGATGATGATTGCAAGCGTCTTGAGCCGCTCCATCCAAGGCTGAAGCCGGCTGAATGCTCAAGGCGCATAGCCAAGGAGCTGCGAGAGAAACAAAGGAACACGCCAATCCACCGGAAAAATCGTCAAGCTCAGCGGACGCACCAACTGACCCAAAGGCCAAGAGTTTGCAAGTTGATCTGCAGAGTGGTATGCTTTGAGGTGCTGCACCTGTACGGAGTTGGCCTTCGCCGTTCTTTCTGCACTCCGCATATCACTCCGTAATTTGGCCGGAGAGCAAAGAAGCTTGTGAGATTTGTGACGCTGCAGACACGCTTCGAGCACTTGCGAGGAGCTCACTGCAAAGCAAGGACGTCACACAGCAGCTCGTAGATGGCCGGAGCCAGCACAAAGCTCGCCGGCGGCCACGGCCGAGCAGAGTTCCGGTCGCCATCTCGCAAGCCGACGGCGCTCCGTTTCGACGGAAACTTTTGTGGCCTCCCCATGCAACACGGCAGCGCTATCCCAGCAAGGACCGCCTGCTTCCCGGTTCGGTCCCAGGTGGGGATGGGCTGTGGTAGGACAGCGCGCTCTGTTCAAGCGCGAAGCCCTAGGAGAAGCCTCCAGTGAGCGCGGTAGCGCATTGCCTCACTGTCATATGCCCGGATACATGGCACGTTGGCCCCAAAGGCATCTCGCGTCTTCAAATGCCCCACACCCGGCCATCGGTGTGCAGGTTGCCATCTAGGTATCCCGGCAACCCGTGGGTAGGACACATAAACCGCAAACCTTGCGGCACGCCCTCGCCCCGAGCGCATGCTTCCTATGTTCCTCGTGCTCTTTCCGTTTCTCATGTGGGAAAACGACGTGTCTGAGAAACGGGCCTGGGCTTTGGGTCGAGCCAATGAGCCATTGCCAATCCCGTTGCCCAAAGCCGCGCCTTCCAAGCGTCTGCGCATGCCGTTCATCCAAACCTCAAGGCGAACCCCACAATGCGAATGTGTCCCAGGTCTACCGCTCCAAATGCATCTTCTGGTTGGCCTTCTGCCCGCCCCTTGCAGAACAGCTCAGATCTGCCAGCCGGAAAACATGCTGCCAATCCACAGCCATACGCCAATGAATGGAACCTGCACATCTGTCCATTGCCTTATGAAAAGAAGCAAGATAACAGCAAAACCTGGAAGATCTAGGACGTGCTTCAGCCCAGAACCGAGCACAAAAGCCATTTACAAAGACAGACAGCTCTGCTCTTCCTGCCAGAAGATCAGACGATCCGAGTCGTCAGAGAGTCTCAATGTATATTGCATGGCATCACGATTGGGAATGTCAAACCTATTGTTCTTTCTTTATCCGTATTTTCACTGGTTCCTGAATCCCCCAACCGCTTCGCCAAAGGTCCCCCCCTGCCCGCAGGCCGAGAAACGTTGTCGGAAGGCCGACGCGAAAAGGCCCATGGGCACAGTGAAGACCCCGACGCCCAGCAACATGATCAACGCGTGCACCGCCTTGCCCTGGCCCGAACACGTCCGCCAGCCCCGCAATCACACGAGGCGCATGGGATCGTTGGTGATGGGAGGGGGGGGGGGGTGAAAATAGGATGTAATCGGGGTTGAATCCATTGCTGAGCAGAGGCTTTGCAAAGGAAATTGTTCGGGCGGGACTTTGCTGGTCGTAGGAGAAAACTTTGGATCAGGCGTGCCACCCCTTCAAAGTGTTTTCGTGGGAAGGGCACTCCCTTCGGAGTGCCAACAAAATCCAGGCCAGCCTTTCCCAAGCTTCACGTCGAAACACAAGCGCCTCAACCAGACATGAAGCTCATGCGGACTCCCATTTACCGACATGTCCATGTCCAAAGAACCCCGCGCATTCCCCCAACGGGTGGCGTTCTTCGTCCCAAGGCCCCCCGCCCCCGGCCCCCCTCCCGGCGCCCCGCCAGCTGCGCCCACCAGGCGCAGCGGGCCTGGGCGCTGTGGTCGTTCACCGGGGCCTCGCTGGTGAAGTCCAAAGCCGTCATCCACATCGACAGCGGCAGCGTCCGGAAGTGGCTCCGGGTGCCTCACAGCAGAGCCGAGCCCTCAGCCGGGCTGAAGGAGCCGGGCCTTTGGCCCCAAAGCCGGGAACTCTTTTTGCCGTGGCTCAATTGCCGATGGGGATGAACACAGAGTTGGGCCAGTTGGGCAAAACGCAGTTCTCTTTTTAGCTTGCCCCGAAATGCAGTGTGTTTGTGTCCCCTTCCGACTCCCACTGTCACCTTCGTCTGGGTTGTTGCGCTCCGCGTAGTACATGAGCACTGCTGCCAGCAGCCACAGAGTCGTGGCGCAAATCAGGGTCATCCTGCAAGAGACGGTCGGATCGAAGCCTTCTGAGTGAAGCACTGGCCACTCCGTCGAAGAAACCACGCCAGGCGCCTGAAGATGATCTTGTTCGCCACCAGCGTGATCTTGAGGTCATGGAAGATTCCACCAAAGACACCTTGATGGCTGGGATGAACCCCCAACACCCGCCACCCAAGCATTCTTCAACAGAAGCCTCTTTGAGTCCGGTTCTCTTTTGCCCCCAAATTGCTTGCCAAGGATCCATCTAGTCTCGGCCATCGCATCATGCAAAGGCCGTGCAAGGCCTGGGCAGTCTCGTTGGATCTCAAGGTCGCGCGTTTTCAGCGACTTTCCCTCACTTACTTGCACATTCTCAGAAGCCAAGCCGACTCCCCCGTGCTAGACGACGTTTCTCTATGACCGGGTCATGGCTACCGTACTTCCTAATCACAGCATACAATCCTATGGTCGTAGCCCTGCACAGGCAGGAGCTTTGAGCATCACAACACTCGCTCTCCGAAATGGACACGGACGCAAAAAATGGGTCCTTGTCTTCAGCAAACATTTCAGTCCGGATTCCCCGTACAGACTGAAATGGCTGTGGCTTAAAAAATGTACCAAAATGGCACCTTGGGAAATGGAACCAAAGACTAAAAGCTGCGTAACCCTGCTCTGTATTTTTGATAAAACAAAGAGAAACATATATTCCCCGTACAGACTGAAGTGGTGGCATCGGAGACTCCGATCTCCGCCGCGGGGCCAGCTGCGTCCGCGCCAGAGAGGTCTGCCGCGGGCTTCCCGTGTGCTCCTCGGCCAAGCGATTTGCAGCTACCCTCAGTCACTTCGGTTCGCCGGCCGCCTGGCGTTGGAAGACCGGTTCCAAGAAAAACCATCTTCACGGCAAATCGACACCACTGCGGCGTGGCGTGTTGTCAATCAACACGGGAAAAGCAAAGGACGCGCTCCGCAAACAAGAGTCCACCCTAGTCTACCATCAAGGCTGCCGCAGTTGTGGCCACTCAAAATATGCTGCTGCAAGATGGTTGCTCTGGCTTGTGTTGAAAAGCGCAAAGGCCTAGCTCCATGGTGCAATCGAACCCACACTTGCAGGCTAGCATCAAGGCAGCTGCCGTGCTGCAGCAGCGATAGCAGCAGGAAGTAGGCCGGCAGCCAAGCCAAAACGTCCGCCTGAGGGACAACGTCGGAGCTTGTGATGGTTTTGTGCAAGCACGATGGTGTGAGATGAATATCCTCAAATAAAATGTGATTGCCACCTTTTACGGCTTTCCTTGGATGGATCTCCTGGATGTGGGGCGGGGTCATCAAGCTCACTGTACAAACATCTTGTGTTGAACAGGATGATCAATGGGGTGTCAAGCCGCACCAGCATCAAGGTTCAAAGGCTCGGCGGAATCTTTTAAAGTTCTCCGAGAGGACTAGAGTCACTCCGGCAGGAAGCTTGCGGAAGGGACAGGTGCGGTCAGCTCGCTTGCAGATTTCGACAGCGATCGAGCCCAAGCGCAAGACTCAGGGCCCCAGCCACGTGCACGATGCTGAAAATGTAGCGCCGCACATTCCTAAGGACAAATCTTTGACACCGGGATCTAGCAAGATCAATCAGATCGTTGATTCATCTTCTCAAAGGAACCATGCGCCCCCATCATCGCCCCATCATCTTAATTTGTGGGGTCACCATGGCATCCGATTCATGTTTGACTACGCTAGCCGAAGGTTGAAACGTCCTGTGTTACATGGACGACATCTGCAGATTGGGTCGGAAGATTCCACATGGTCAAAACACACTGTGCCGAAATCCGAGGAGCTGGGTCCACACAAGCCGCCCAGCCCAGCGCAGCAGGAAGGGCAGTGCAAGCAGCACGTCTAGGAACCGGCAGGGCGCCAGCCTTGGGGACAATTGCAAGTTTAACCCCCCAGAAAAGGATTGAATTTCTTGAGGCACCAAGGATCTTGGATGTGGTGGCCAAGGAAGACTCTGAGCAAATCCAAGTCTTGAAACCTTTTCTGACATGCGGCACATGGCCAAGCGTCAACGTTACAGACCCCCTGTTGCAGAGCTCAAGAAGAAAACAAAAAAAAACTACCCAAAAAAGAAGAAAAGCATTCTGGGCAAAGCCCCGGTGTTGGCACACAGCGCGTCTCAAGATGGATGACCTTCACCACGTTACCCGGCCGGCTCACCGGAACTGGGAGCCCAGCAGGCTGCGCTGCCAGGAGCCCTCCTCAAAGCTGTGGCCTGGGACTTCGGATCTCTCGCTGTTTCTCTCCCGACTTCTGGTTGCTTCGCTCTTTTCTTCCAGGTAGGTTGGTCTTAGGTCTTCTCCTTGGCTCTTGCATTTTCTTTGTTGCTTTGCTTCCTCTTGCTTCCCTCTTGTGTTCGAGTTTGGTCTTGGCCAGGTCGAGACGGTTCTGCGAGCTTGGCGCCCGGCCTGCGCGGTCCTCCTCCTGCACCGGCTTTTGGTACACCGTGGTGAGTAAGACAAAGTTGCCAGTGGACAAGACCTCGGTGAACCATGGCGCTCCATCAGCACAATGCCCGAGGTTCACCCCGCCTCGCGCAACCGGATTCGCTCGTTGGTTTCGGCTGAAAACGCGAACTCTTGAGAACCAGTCGCCGGGAAAGGGGCTTCAACAAGAATGCCTCACACTGTGTTCATATTCAGGGCCGCAATGTGCCACATGCTTCCACTGCGTTCATACCCCTCAAACCCGCACTATGCTTCCTCCTTCCACTAAAAGATGAGTATGCTTCAGAGGTGTCCCCATGACACTCCGTTCAGCGATGGTGGGTGTGATTCTAAATTGGTCAGCATCAGCAACACCCTTCTAAGATCTCGAAAGGAAGGACACAGCGCAGTGGAGGGCCCCTACTGTGGACGAAATCCTGCACCACCTAAGAAACCCTGGAATGATTCCTCTGTAAATACCAAAAAATGAAAGCTCGGCAACTTGCTGCAGAAGGCGCACTCTTTTTTTCGCATGCAGTGTGAGATAATGCCGATGTCTGCAAGCTGAAGAAGGGAGTGTCATTGGGTTAGTCAAAGCTTGCACACACACACAGAGGCCAAGAGGGCGCACAGCACAAAGTGCAGGTGAAAGCCACAGGGCGCTCTGAAGTGTGTGTGTGTGTGTGTAATCAAGCCACCCCACTTCAAGCTTGGCAGAAGAAATCACAGGCAGGCCAAGACTCTTGGCAATGCCAGGGCGTGGTGGGCGGGCAAGAAAATGTGCGCCCTGCAGCTAGCCTGACTTGAACCATCAATCAATCAATCAAGGCGCGTGCTCTCAATCCTCTTTCTGCCAAACCCATCCAGGCCAAGAAAGTTTGAATGAAAGCTCGGCAACTTGCTGCAGAAGGCGCACTCTTTTTTTCGCATGCAGTGTGAGATAATGCCGATGTCTGCAAGCTGAAGAAGGGAGTGTCATTGGGTTAGTCAAAGCTTGCACACACACACAGAGGCCAAGAGGGCGCACAGCACAAAGTGCAGGTGAAAGCCACAGGGCGCTCTGAAGTGTGTGTGTGTGTGTAATCAAGCCACCCCAAAGTTCCCCCCAATGCTACAATGCCGTCAAAGCTGCTGCAAGCGAAGACGCTGCAATGCGAACTAAATCAGGCACAATTGCCGGCAGCAAGGACCAACCTTGGGAAAAGGTCCACGCATCATCAAGGCCATCACGGGAGAGACCATCTGCAGGGTTTGCATTCGACTCGATGTATTCGAAGTACACCCTGCAACTCAGCTTTGCGTACAGGAGATGCGCTAGTGATGCGATGAAGCACAAATCCCCTGCACTACTGGCACCCTTGGTGAGAATTTGGCAAGCTGCTTGATTGTCAATGTACCAAATGAGATCGCGCCCAACCAGAAGATGGGGGACATTACAAGGCACAATTACACTCAACAAGGCTTCGCAAGGTGTAATCTGCTGGTGGCGCTCATCAAAGAGCTGCAAAACCTGCGGCGCAAGTCGGGCAGCCATGCCCACAGGGGGCTGGGCACTGGCAGCGTCAAACACAACAAAACCAACACCTGCAACAAGATCTGTGTCAGGCTCGTATGATGCGTCAGAGTAAATGCGCACTGGAGGCAAAACTGCGCCTAGGACCTGCACTTGGCGAGGCTGCACTACACAGGCAAGAAGACTGTGGAACCTAAGAGAGTCCTTCAAAGGCTCATCAAGGACATCCACCGTGTCAAAGTACTGACGGCGGACCAAAGGCGCCTGGCCCCCGCGAGCACATCGGCCATACGTTCCTGACGCAGACCAGCCAAGTTTGCCTCGCAATTTGGCTGCACGCCCGGAAGACAAGATTCCCTCCTGCAGAACAGTATCGATGTCCTGTTGCAACACTTCGCGAAACCCATCCTTCAGCTCAAACTCAACAACCCCGGCAACTGACGCTTTGGCGACATTAACAGACAAGCCGAGGAAAGCACGGCAACCAGCAGGCGCTTGAGATTTGTCCGGGTCTAGGACAGCACCCATCAAGGCGTACACTTCTCGGAGCGCTGCCTGCGCTTGGCCGTGACCAGCAGCAAGGTCAAGGACGCACGAGTCATCGAAGAAGAAAGCAACAGCTGAACCAGTGAAGCGTCTAGCTACGGCAGTCAACAGCGCAGGGGTGCGGTTGAAGCTAAGTACAGCAGAGGACAAACCAAACGGCAAGCCGTTGAGCACGATGTATTTGACGCGGCAAGAGTGGCAATGCCAAAACGCAATTACTGAGCAGCACCTATGCGCAGGCAAGATAGGGCACTGTCTGTAAGCATTTTTCATGTCCTCCGTGCCAAGCACAAGAGAAAACCACTCAGGCAAGTCATGTTCGCCAGGCCCTTGCAGCTGGCGGGCAAGGCTGCAGGCTCGGCGAGCGAAGGCCGGGATGACATCAACAGTTGTGGCAAAAATTGTTTCACTTTCTCTGCTAGCCCTATTGTGGCCAGACTTTTTACCAGAGTCGATGCACCTCAGCTTTCCGCAGCTCTGCACGTGAACAAATCTTTCCAAAGGGCGCCAACCTCCGCGGCCAAACATGGCGTTCAGCTCTTCTTCATCAAAGGGGCCATCTGCAAAGCCGTCTGCCACCTCTTGCAACGTCATTGCGAGCAAGGCGGCATCATGTTCACTGGGTCGCACACGGTGCAAACAGTCACGCAAGTTAGCCACGGCTGAGGCGCCCAACAACACGTCAAGGCCTGTTGGCTGCGCGCAGTCAACTTCTAGCTGCCGAAAAAGGCCCGTGTGTTCAATGTCGCCCACTATAGGGAAACCAAGGATGTATCTGAGGGCGTTGGTCTCGTCCGGCCAACGCAGCAGCAAAGTACAAGCCAACATGAACACAGGCCTCTTACGCGACGCAACCCTAGCAACAGTAGCGGGCATTTGAGAAACAGCCTCGGCTTCCCACGGCCTCAGGACTTTTGACAACTTACGCAGCGCGCGAAGTTGAGCTTCGCGCCAAGTACGAATCCAAGGGCCGAAGCCAATCATGGCGCGGCAAGCAAAGTCCAAGTCATCGTCCAGAGGGCTACTGTAGTCGAAAGGCGATTGCAACAAGGCTGATTCGGCAATGTGGGCTTCTTTGGAAAGACCTGACTTGTGAAGCGCTGGCAGAGCGAACTTGGACAAGCCGGACCCTCGCTGCACGCCTGCGGCGGCAGAGGACTGCGCAGGGTCTTTTTGCTGCGCCCAGTGCGGTCCTTGGACATCAGCAGGCATCCCGCGAAGTTGCGTGTCAACCCAGTAAATTTGCAGATCACTCAATGGCACCTGCGACAGAGCCGCCACCAAGGCTTGCAACGGTCGGGAAAATGCCAAGCCCTCCGCGGACATCCTGTGACACACACGCGTTGCCAAATCGCGAGCAGAGAGCAAGCCTGGGAAGGCAGAGTAAAGGCCTGGTTCAAAAACAGTACCCTTCACACGAGATCTGAGCCGAGCTTCATCTGGCGCGTACCACGGGCCTGGCACCTTGCTGATAGGCGCAAGCAGCGTCAGCACTAGACATAGCACCAAGGTAAAGGAGGGCACGTGCAAGGAACTACTCAGATCTGCGCCCAAGTCGTTGGCGCGCGCTTGGACGGCCTCAAGTAAAGCCTTAGGCACACAGTGCATCTGAGCTCTTTCCCGGTCGTTTGGGAGTCGGTAAGCGTCGCCACGCCACAGCAATGTTCCCTCACAAGAAGCAGCAGGCTCTGCCGCGCGCGAGCGGGCTTGGCACGGCAACCACGGGAAAGGCTGAGCGGCGCGTTTGACAAACGCACCTTCAAAGTGCACACGCTTAGGGCAAGGCTTGCCAGCATACTTGGCACGAATCTGCCCCGCTGAGACGCAAAATTCAACATGGGGCACAATGACATTTAGCAACAAATCTGCAACCCTGGGCTCTACATCCAACCACCACACGCACGGCTTGCAAACATGGCCAAAGTCAGCTGCTTCAGTGCATATTTGGACAACTGGCGAGGGGACGCAAGAGTCGCACGGCACGCAAGCAGCGCTGTCGAAGATTCCGACCACATGCTGGGCAGAAGCTACTTGCCTAGCTTCACCAGCAACCCGCTGCACGTGCTGGAAAATCTGACTGTTACTGTGAAGGCTAGCATTACCGCGGCAAGGCGAACCAGCAACTATCACAATCAACCAAAACTGGGCTCTGCGCCACTGCTTGGGCAGTTGGGCAAAGGAAAACTTGCACACGTCACTGAAGTGCAGAAAATTTGCAAAAACTAGCTGCGCAGCTTGGGACAAGCTGGTGTCACACTCGACGGCCACAAAGCAAAATTCGAGGCCGAGCGCAGCCACTGCAACGGCGGCCCCGGAGAAGCCATCGCAAAGCGACACTAGCAAAATAGGCCCTCGGCGTGGTGGGACCCACGGCAACGACGGCAGACCACCACGGCCTACCCACTGAGCAAAAGGCGGCGTGCTACCATCCACAGCGGCGGCTGACACATGCGCTGCTCTGGAAGAAGGCTGGCAAGCGTCAAGCTTACCTGCCGGAGGCACAAGGCACACACGACGCACTTCATCAGTCCGGGTCCGAAAATCAAAATCGCGGCCCTCGTGAGGACCTAGTCACAACCGCAAGTGCGGGCAATCTTGGCGGACGTGAGAAGTTGATCCGCACGCGTTCCCATCAGGCTTGCGAACATCACAACAGTGTCTGCGCTTGTCCGGGCAGCTCTTCTCATTTTTCGCACAGCCACGCTGATCGTTGCGCTTTTTGCAAATCACTTGCCCAGATGGCAAGCATCGCACGGTTTTCTCCTGCTTGACGCGCTTGGACGGCGCCTCGCCCGTCTCGCTGGCAGGATGCGCTGCTACAACGGGCCCTGTAGGCGGCATTGCCCACGACACTTCAGTACGGGCAAGGGCTTGCTGCATCGCCTCTCCCTGGGAAAGACCTTGACGCATCAGATCAACCATGCAGGCACGGGTGTGCTCATCTTTGGCTTGCAACCATGCCAGCTGCTGGCCTGGCTGCTGGACGATCTCTGTCACCTGCCTGAGGCAGAAGTCAGCGTAATTGAGATTCACATCCAGGGGTGCAAAAACGACTTGCTGGGACTGATTTGCTGCCGACGGGACCTTGTGAGTGCCAGCCAGAGCATAAGCGTACCCCAGCACCCGCAAGCAGAAGTAGTACGCTACTACAGAACGCAACGCTGGCGGCTCAGCTTGCACTTGCACCAGGATATTGGACCCCAGGCTCACTGACTCCTTGGAAACACCTTTGGACGCCTGGTACAGCGACTGAACCTTGCGCGCCGGAATGACTGTGGGGGTCCCCCGCCCAAACTCGCGCCAGACTCGCCCAAGTAAGGTGTCAGAAGGCATGAGGTACATGGACAACTGCACAGAGTACATAGAAGAGAACGACTGCATCAATCCCTCCTGAGTTCTCGGGTCCAAAGGTTCCTCAGCATCGTCTGCCACGCCGTCAAGGCGTCTCTTGCGAGCCTGTTCTACTGTGGATTGGGCTTCTTTCCATGCTGTGCGTAGTCTTGACAACTGGACCAACTCATCTTGGCAAGGCGACTTGTCAAAGATCAGGGATTTCAACTCAGACTCGAACGCCTTGCTATCGACTATGCCCACAAAATCTGCCAAGCTCTCCAGGCCTATTTTTGTCAAGTGCTCAATCAAAGGGTCTGCAAGGCGGTGTTGCCGAAACAATTGCAGCAATGCCTCCTTATCTTTGGCAACAGGCTTAGTGCCAGGAGCTGGCATGGCTAGGGTTGGAACTGCATTCTACACATGGGCCGCGACTGCAGCGAGCAACGGAAAGTCAAACACAATGGTTGAAGCTCTGCGGGTCGTGTAAATGCACGTGTAAAGCATCATCCCCAACAACAGACTAGCAAGTTAAAAACCAGTGCACAAAAGCTGAAAGCTTGCCACAAAAAGGGTGGAGCCAACACTACATAAATTAAGGCCGAGGGCCGAAGAGCCACGCAACCACAAGGGCTGCGCGAAGCCCCTGAAGCCCTGAAACCCGACATGTCTCGCGTGACTGAGGGAATGTGAAAGTTGGCAAACACACAAATCTCCGTAAACCTTCGTCCCAGATCAGTAAAAGACTAGCCTGGCCAAGCAAAGAGTGGATGCATCCCTACGACAACAAAAACAAGCGTTGGTCAATGGCCGAAGGGCCGCGCACCGAAAAGGCTGCGCGAAGCCCTCAAAGCCCTAGAACTGGACATGTCATGGTGACTCGGGAAAAGCTGCCCGTCAAAACAAAGGGGGCGCAACCCTGCAACAGCAGAAACCCCAGCAAAAGCCGAAAGCTTGCAAGAGAAGGGGGGCCAGCGAAACCCCAGAAGCCCTGAAACTGGACATGTCTCACGTCACTTTGGATGAACTTGCCAATCAAATCTTTTTTTTTATAAAAAAAAAAAGGAGTTGGCACAAACCCGCATCTGCAAGAGAGGGGGGCCAACAAACAAACAACAATTAGAGCCGAAGGGCCACGCACCCAAAAGGCTGCGCGAAGCCCCCGAAGCCCTGAAACTGGACATGCCTCACGCCACTCGGGGAAAAGCCTGCCGTGTGAAAGGAAAACAAATCAAATAAGAGTAGGCACAACCCCGCAACAAGAAGCCTTTGCCAAAGCTGAAGCTTGCAAAGAAACAGGGGGGCCAACAAGACATAAATGTAGGCCGAGGGCCGAAGGGCCACAAAACATGAGTGTAAGGCCCCCGAAGCCCTGAAACCCGCGTGTCTTGTGTTGTCAGGAAATTTAGTGGCAAACACACTGACCTATTACGCACAGCCGCAGAATTCTTTCACTGTCTATTTGCAGGAGTCGATTGCTCGTTTAATGTGCGGTGGAACGCAGGCTTGGCATTTGGCACAAATCTGCAAGCCTGGCTCTATTCCGATGCCCCACTCCAAGGGAATTCCCGCAAACGGAGTGCCACGGCACCAAGGAACAGGTTGGGATTGGGAGCGCTCACGTGCGATATGAGAAACCCCACGGGCAAAACGAAACCACTCTAAGTCATGCGGCAACCCTTCGTGACTTGAGCCACCGTCGGAAGAGGACGAAGTCTCGTCACTGCTTGCTTCGCTGTCACTTCCCTGGCAATTTACTGGTTTGTCTGCTGGAGGAGTCAAAGCAGAATGTCGATTTAAAATCTGCTGCCAGCTGAGCCCTTTTGTGCGGAAAGACTGCCAATCGAGCGGCCCGGATTCTGTCTCGAGCAACTCCTGAACTGCTGCGCACAACAAAGCTTTAGTGTGCCCAGCGGAGAGCACTCTGTCATGAGCATAGTGCTGGCTCATCTGCACTGGCATTGGCTGGGCATGCTTGGTCGTAACTGACTCCGTCCAGTTTCCCAAGTGTTGGGCAACTTCCACTGGCGTTCGCAAGACCTCTGCTACACTTGGCAAAAAACGTCGCAAAGAGTAAGTGCTGATAAGGCCCACTTCTGCATCAGGCAAACCTTCGCTACGTAACACTGAGTGCAACAGCTTCACAAAGCGCGCCATTGGCATCGGGGCTGCTCGCCAATGCGCACGCTCGTCCAGGCAACCGGAGGGCCCACAGGCAACATCTGGGATACAAAAGGACAAGTCAGGCACCTGGCTGCGCAAGTCAATGATGACCCTCGACGCTAAGCCCAAAACATGCTTCCACTTGCCAACATGCATCGGAGCAGCCCATTCGAACGACGGCCGCGTGCCATGTTTGCGCGACTTGCCCTTCAAGCAAACCGCGCGAGCAAAGTCGTGGGACAGCGTCCAATCAGCTGATCGCTGCGCGTGGGCGAACCTCAGGCAAGCCACTAATGGGATAAGGGCTAAAGACGCGAACGTAGCAACGTTCGTGGAACCACCAAGGGCCAGCTTGCAGAGCGCCTGAAAAGCACGAAAGCTCAAAGGCACACGAGGCTGGATAGAGTGTCCCTCGGCCACTCGGTTCCACGTTGCAACCATGGGGTCGCCACCATAACAGCTTCTGGAAAAGTCCTTGCGCTGCAGTTGGCCCTCCGTCAGACGCTTGCTTAAGGAAGGAAAAAAGCAGGGCAACCGGAGGCAACAGAACTTCTGCAGGCTCTTTGCCAAACTGCAACACATAATTGGCCCACCGCCTCAGGGCGCTGAGTTGCGCCTGCAGAGTGCGCCGCTCAAAGATCTGCAGCCGACTCGCCAGGCCTTCGCGAGCAATGGCCTGGTGCTCCTCAAGCAACGGTGACCACAACTCGCCATGCGTGCCAAGGGCGGCATAGATCTCCCAGCAAGCATGGACCATCTCAGAGTGCTGGTGAACTGGCCTCAGGGCAGTCAGAGCATTCTGCGACCACTGAAAGGCGCCCGGCGCAATGCTACCCACAAGCCTGCACCGTTTGACAGCAGGCACAGGGAGGCCTTCAACAGGGCGAGCGCACTGCGGGGCTCCACTGGCACGCCTGGCAAGGAATGCCAAAGCGCCACGGGCAAGCTCGATGTACCATCCAGCTTCCTCATCGTCAATAAAGCCAGACATGGCTGTCACCAGCTCATCCGGTCGCAGGCCAGCAATGTCTGCATCGCACATCAACCCAGAACGGCGCATGCGCTCGATCACTGCACAATGAACGCCAGATTGGAAGAACTGCGAAAAGTCAGGCTCTGCAGGCACTGTCAAGGGTATTGCCTCTGCAGGCACTGTCAAGGAGGGCACAAGCGCAGGGCCATGGCCGTGTCCATGAAAATGCCGTTTCATACCCAAGAAAATGTGCGCCCTGCAGCTAGCCTGACTTGAACCATCAATCAATCAATCAAGGCGCGTGCTCTCAATCCTCTTTCTGCCAAACCCATCCAGGCCAAGAAAGTTAAAACAATGGTTTTCCCTTTCAAAGTGGGGCGGCTTTTCGTTGGCAGTTCCTTGGCACATCAAAGAAACGGATCGCGAGGCACCACGACGGAGACCAGCAGTGCCGCCCAGGCCCGCGAGGGCGGAGGCTCCATAAGGACGCCCTGCGAAAAGACGTATGAACCAAAGGACCGAAGGTCAGCAGGTTGACCAGAGGCAGGTTGAACCAGGTTGAGGCAGTGTGTTGTTTCCTGTTGGTGAAAGGAACTTGTACATTCTACCATTTGTGTATACAAACAGGCGCACCATTGAGTCGCCTTCAAATCGGGTAGCGCAAACCAGGCGAGCAACTAGCAACTGCCAGTGCCTGGTCGCCCTCCGACTTGAAGTTCCTGCTGACGTGGTCCTTCCAGGCGAGGCACGCAGCACGCGGCGCCAAAGAAGTTGTCCCAGGCGCAACCGGGGGCCCGGCGCGGAACGCGGCCCCCAAGACCCCCACAGGAATGCTCAGCACGTAGGTACCCAGGAGGCAAATGACCTGAAAGGTCAAACTCTCAAAAATCAGACTCTCAAAAACTTGATCTTTATGACTTTGAGGAAAAGATCTAAAAACAAAAAATCTCAAAGTCTCAAAAACAAATCTGCGAGATTCTCGCCGGCCAGCGCCGGCCAGCGCTCGCTCGAGCGAGCCGGGCTTCCCTTCCCTTTGGGCGCCGGGCCATGGAGTTGGCGCGGCCCCAGGGCGCTGAGAACTCGTCCGCGTTGGGGAACTCGCCTGACGCGGTCGCTCGTTAGAAGTCGCGGCCCGGAAGCCGCAAAGATGTGAGTCATCCTGAAAAACGTGCGAGGCAGAACGTTCTGCCGGTTCTTCTGTTGTGGGAAAGAGGATGGAAAAAAAGCAGCAACTGGCGATCCAGGATGCGTTCCGCCGAGCTGCCGTTGAAATCGATCAAAGCCTGGGAAGAAGCTACTGGAAGGAGTTTTTTGAAAAACTTCCGGGCGGCAACAAGCATGTATCATTCCGAAACCTCTTGCTTGACCAAGCAGCATAGTACATGGCTGAAGGTATGGAGACGTATCTTTGATAGCCTGGCAATGGCGACGCGCGAAAATCGTAGGTGACTGACGGCCGGCGGGACCTGGCTCCACACCCCAGAAAAAGGAGTCGTTGTCGTGCTCCGTCCTGAGCAATCAAGCCTTCCTTCAAGGTAGAGAGCTCAGTGAATGCTGTGGACGAAAATCCAAGCACCACCTAAGCATGGAATGATGAAAATTCCCCCGTAAATGCCAACAACCCATGGTTTCCCATGGTTTCCCATGGTTTCCCATGGGTTCAAAGTGGTGCGAAATGGATTTCTTCCATCCACAGTAGGTTGCCGGATGGTTGGGGAAGCATGGGCATGTCAAGACAAATATATGGCCAAGTGCTTGTCTGCAAACGAAGTGCTCTACGAGTCTCAATCAGCAATAAAACTCCCAAAATTTGAAGGTTACCACACCAGTTCCAACACGCCAAGTCTCAAGTAATGCACAGTGCTGCATGCCAGCCACATGGTGCAAAGGAGGTTGACCTCGGTTCGGCAACCTCGCTGTCAAATCAACGTTCCCTACTGGTTGGACACAGGTACTTTGGGTGTGCTTTGCGTGGCACCCTGGCCACGTCCCGGAATGAACCTTCGGGAAACCCTTCCGTTGCGCGGTGAGCAAAGGAAACCCATTTGGATCTTTGGCAAAGCGCGGTGCAGATTCTCACCAGACCGGGCTTTGTGCTGCGAGCAGTGGCCAGGAGATTCCACATTCATATCCCTAAACCCCACCCGCACGAACTGAATGCACAGCCAGGCCGCAGAGATCATCAGCAAACCTCACACGAAGCCAAGAGCGGTCCATCGTTTCAGCCAGGGATCATCCTCTTACCCGTCAACATCCATGGGCTCGCACAAAGGCCTTCTACTCTGCACATGTTATCGACGTCTTGATGCGACTTTTCTTGTTCACATCCACCAGCTTCACCTCAAGCGTCACGCTACCAGTTGAGGCCGCGGCTGGAGTTGGCAGCCACCAGCCGCTTGATGACGCCGATGCCTCAGGCCACGAGGCAAACTTCCGAACGGGTGACCGCGACCGCACGGGGTGCACCTGCTCCTGCAAGGACCTGCTTTCCAGCGCTCCTTCCGTTCATAACTGTTCAGCTCCCCCGACTTGATCACTGAATTTGGGGGCTGAAAGGTGGCAAGAGGGGTGACATGTCTCGCAGACGAAGTGGCCTTCTCCGTCGCCGGCCCGGAGAATCACGTCCAGCAGCCGCGGGAACCGCAGCCAGATGAGGTTGGGGAAGATGTCGTACTTCTGAAAAATGGAGAGGCCGAGAAAAGCCGAGAGAAGCCGAGAGAGGCCGAGAGGCCGAAGAAGCAGGGGTTGGAAGAAGCAAATCGCATACGTGAATCACATGGCAAGATGCGCTTGGGAATCCCTGGGATCCTTCAAACATCCCTCTGAGTTGCTTGTGGAGACATGCCTGCAGCAGCATCTCCAGAAGGGTTGGCAGCATCGCCGCCAGGTCAACCCACATCAAAGGGCTTGTGAGGAAACGCATCCTCAGTGCATCCAAGCGTATCAGCCGAGCACGCCTCGTGCTTTTAGGCCCAGATATGGAATGCATATTTTATTGTTTGCTTCACTTTGAGGCACTGGTAAAATGTAAAATGAGGAAAATGTATCCGGAGTCTCCCCAGGCCTATGGAGGGAGCCCAATTTCAGCCATCCCGGTCCCAGCGGCAGCCGAGGACAGCTGTGATCGAGCCCGGGGTGAAAGAAGAGCCGCAGGCAGAAACACAGCAGCATCACCGCGCAGGTCCTCGACTGGAATAAACCCTCGGAGATGGGATATCGATTTTGGGGAGGAATGAATCAAGGCAAATCGTGACTGGGGCTATCGGTGAGCCGTTGCCAATCAAGGAATCGGACGCCAAGCAAGAAACCGGTGGATTGCCAGAACTCGTCGCGGAGAAGGTGGTTTGCATTGCGCCAACTTAGCTCGGGTCTTGGGCCCACGGACAGCTCGCAGCTCAAAATTGCATGGTCAAGTGTTGCCGAACCAGCTGAATGTGGGCGATGTCGACATCGCACTGGGCTCCCCTTAAGCTGAGCGACAGCCATCCGCTGTGAACTCACACGGCTCATGGCGGTTCAGTTGCACGCCCAAACAAAAAAAAACGTCAACAGCTGCGAGCTTCCGTGGCTGCTTTCTGACCTAAACCCTGACCAAATCTACCAATAAGCCCTTCCACGCCCTTTTTGCATGTTTTTCTCGTAGTGAGTTCCCCGTCGGGACCCTTCACGCGTTTGCTCTGCGTTTGTTCTGATCCGGGCGTCACCTCCTCCAGGGCACGGCCGTGCTTCCAGTGGAGGTAGCGCCGGTTTTCGCCCAGCTCGCAGGTCTCGTCGGCGAAGACCAGAAAACAGCCGATCCTGAGGCCCAAGGCTTGCGAAAAAGCGCTGGCAATGGAGGGTTTTCTGAAAAGAAGCGGGCTCACACGAAAAAATTGCATTTTTTGATGACCCAGGGCATGATCTTGACCTATCATTTTTGGATGGTGGGGAAACCCCTGGAGCCCAAGTCGGGCTTCAGGCACTGGCTGTCCGATTCCTTTTTCCTGATAGCATGCTATTTCATCCGGCCATGCAAACACCTTCATATCACAGCTCAGGATGCACTCATGTTCTTGGGGCGGGCGTCCGAAGGAAGAAGAGTCTTGGCCCCTGTCCCAACGTCCCTGCTGATTCAGCAGAACAAGTCCAAGAAAGAAAGACAACAGAAAGAATGAAAGAAAGAAGGGAAAAAGAAGGAAAGAAGCGCGAAAGCAGAAAGTGTGGGTTTGGCGCCACAAAGGAAATCCCCCCCAACAACCCAGGGGTCCAACCAACACAGAAAACAGGAGTACCAAGTCCCGAGGATGATCCACCCACAACACGAGGCCCCCGAGAACGGCCATCCGGCGGCTCGCAAGGACGACCCGCTTCCTTGAGCGGAAGGAGGGTGGAGGTGGAGGGTTTCTTGCTGGGGCAGGTTAGTCACCTACTTACACATCTACTTGCTTCCCTAGTCGAGGCGATAAGTAAGAGACAAACCAGTGCAAGTATGTTATTTACGGACGAGTCGCTTCTTTAAGCGGACGGGGGGTGGGGATGCTCACTTACTTTCTTGGTTGCTTACTTGCCTAATCCAGGTGGTAAGTAAGATAGCCACCAGTCTGAGTATGTTACTGACGGAAGACTCGCTTCCTTGAACGGAATGTTACTTCCGGGCGACTCGCCTCCTTGAGTGCGGGGGGTGGTTCAGTCACTCACTCTCTCTCTCTCTCTCTCTCTCACTCACTCACTCACTCACTCACTTACTTACCTAGTAAGATACTTACCGGAAGCTGGGTAGGGGCGGTCACTTTCTTTTACTTACTTGCTTGCTTAAGCCAGGCGGTAAGTAAGATGCCCGCATATGTTACTTGCGGACGACGCACTTCCCTGTACTTACTTACTTACTTACTTACTTACGTACTTACTTACGTACTTGCGCTGGCGAGGGAGGGTGTGTTCGGGGGGGTTGTTTCTTACTCGCGGACGGGCGCCAAACCTGATGGTTTTTTGCGACTCTTGAGGCGCGCGCGCAACCCTCTGCGCGGATCAGCGTGGTCGATGTGCAAGAACTGGAGCTTTTTGCGATGGTGGAGGTGCAAAAACTGTTAATTTTTTTGCGACTCTTGAGGCGCGCACGCGCAACGGTTGAGGTGCAAGGTCTCGAGTTTGTTTGCATTTTCTGCTCTGCGCGCGACCCTCTGCGTGGATCGCGCGTGTCGGATGGCTCTCGCTATGGTCCCGTGCGATGTTCAAGGTCAAAAGGAGGACGCGACGTACATTGCGCACGGCAACTTGCTGAAAGCGATGCGCAGACCTACGCAGAACAATTTGCGCAAAGACAATATCTACAGAAAACATTCTGCAGCATGGGAACCCTTTTGTCAGAACAATGCGGTCTCTTCCATGGCAAGTCTTCAAACGGAGTTGTCTTTCTTCATACACCTTGGAAATTGTTGCTTTTGGCATTGCCGCTGTGCTCACATTCACATTGGATAGTTGGGACAAAATGGACTGAGTCACGCTGCGTGTCATGGAAAATTCTTTCGGGCCACCTGTCTTCTAGTTTTTCTTGTTGGTTGGATTTCTTGAGGTTTTTACACTTCTCCCAAGAAATGCCCAAAAACTCGAGTAGACCAAGCAAAACAAGACTACCCCCCAACTCAGGACAGCTGACATAGTCTGGGTTTCTTTGTTTATGGTTTTTGTTTTTGTTCTCACACTACCCAGGACAGCGGACATAGTCTCGTTTTTACTCAAGGCTTTTTTGCATTTCTTTGGAAAAGTGGACGAAAACTTGTGTTTTTGGAAGACATGCAAAAATCACAAAAAAGTGCGCGCTCTCAGGGCGCTTTCTTTTGGTACGCGTTGCCGCGTGAGTCTTTCTGGCTAGGCGGTCAAAGTGACAGTTCCAGACTCAAGTCTGGAGTGAAACATACGGATGCTGCATCGCGACAGCCCCACCAACGCGGCATGTTATCTGGCAGGACCAGGGAAGGAACCAAGGCCAAGATGAAACCCTGGCTCTAAGCAAAGCACCAACTAAAACAGGCGCCGGTTTGGGCCGCAACTTGGCACATCACTAGGGTCAAGCTCACGCCACTTGAGTGACGTTGACGGTTCTACCGATGATTTGGGTGAGATGTCGTCTGGAGTGAAACATATGGATGCTGGAGCGCGTGATTACACACTCTCTGGGCTCACCAGCTGCGCAATAGGTACCTGGCAAAACAGAGGCTGCCGATTAAACAGTTCCAAGCGAGGTGCCTTTTGGGGCTCATTTGGGGGGTCCCCTTATTTTGGCACTCTCATTTGTTTCCAAAAGGGTGGTTGGTCACAAGGTCACCAGGAATGAGGACAGCTCCCCCCAAATTTGCGGCTTGGAGGAGTAGAGGTTGGGCGGGAGCTCAAATCCAAACCACCAATTCGTGGTTTCCGTTGCTGGCTAAGTCTGGCAACGCGGTTTGCGATATCCGTGGGGCTTAACGTGATGAGCGGCGCCGTGGAGCTTGACTGGGAGATGAGTTCCTCTTAGGTTCAAATTGTGCCCCGTGCTGTTTTCCTCCTGATATGGTTTGCTTGCTATCTTCCCTACTTCTGCGCGAAAAAAGGCATAACCCTCCACGGAAGGGGCCAGTCGGCGACTCACCGCTCACGCTACATCTCCCTTGCTTCCTGACGGTCTCCAAACGAGAGTTTTGTTGGGAAATGGTCATAAACTCAACGCAGAAAATCTTGATTAAGCTTTAGAGGTGAACAAGAAAAAGAACGATTCTCGAGCCCAACCATACCTGGACGTACGGGCAGCAAACGGCGCCTCTTGCCTTGACCTGGAAATGAGACGCGGAAGGCTGGGCTTTCCTCTCTGCGGCCTCGGCTACGATCCAAAGGCCAATTGTCCATTGCGCCAACCCACAAGCATCGTAGTAAGTACCTGGCAAAGCGGAGGCTGCCGACTACACAACTCCAAGAGAGGTTTTTTGGTTGAGTGTCGACAAAGCATTTTGGGGCTGCATTTGCTTGAGGAAGGATTTGTTCCCAAAAGGTTCTTTGGGCGATTGGTCACAAGGTCACACGAAAGACCACCAGAAAGTCGGAATCCTTAGGCAAGCGTACATCATGGGAAACCTCGTTTGACATGCGCGTGAGCTCATAATAAATTCAACGCGCGGCAACTTCATTGGGAAGTAACTGTGGCACCGAGCCATGACCGTGCCAGCAAGACCGACGCCCTCTCAACAGAATGCAAACAAAAGCAAGCGAGTCAACCTCCACTGTCATGATGAGAGCACATGCCCACCGAGGGACCTGTGGCGCGGTCGTGGGTTTCCTGTGCTGACTGACTACACTTACTGACTTGACTACTTACTCACTTACTTATTTACTTACTTACCTACCTACTTGCTTACTTACTGACCTACTTACTTACGGGCCTGCTTGCTTGCGGACCTTCTTGCTCGCTCAGTCTGGAGTTCCCCACCAATCCACCCTGGGCCAATGTCTCGACACAAAGCTGATGCGAGGTTTCGCACGACGGCCATCCAGCAGTCACGACGGACCAAACTTGAGCCAAATGTCACCCGTAGCTCGCTAACGATCCCTGCCAAATGACGCTAGTAACACGTGGCTAATAACAGAAAGAAAAAAAGAAAGAAAAGGAAAGGAAAGGAAAGGAAAGGAGAAAAGTAGAATCCTAGTGCAAAAAGAGATTTGCAACGCAGGTTACACTGTGAACACGAATTGGGGGCAGTATCGACCGGGGGGGGTAGTCACTCGCAGAGGGGTAACAGGCAAAATGAATTGGCAACATGCCCAACGTCCAAATGAAATGAAAACTCCTGCTCCTTCTGAACGCCCACCGCTTCTTGGGGCCCTGCCATGACTCGTGGCTCTTGCCCCATCAGGTGGCTGTGGGTCAAAAATGGGTGCCCAAAATGGCTTACCCTGTAAACGGAAACTTGGACCAAAACCTGCGGTCCATATCCTGGTGGTTTAATTTTAACCCATGCCCAGGTGACTTTGTTCAATAGCAAGGATCCTTACACTTTACACCTTAACATTGCCTTGTCCATGGTGGCTTCCCTTTATTTTGGTGGACAAAGCCATGTTTCAAACGGGCAAAGTGTATCTTTTAAGGAGCCCTGAATAGGTTGAGATGGACACCGGCTCCAGGCTTTCCCCAAGGCCGGTTTTCCGAGCGGCGTCAAGACCTCGGGGCAACGTGCCCTAGCAAGACTTGGTCCAGTTTCATGGAAGAAACCACAGGTCGTCCCTCAGCGTAAAATGTTTGTGCTCCTCTTGATACTGGGTCCCCGCATGTCAGCTCGTCGGCCTCTCCAACTGTGCGGCAGCTGGGGCCGCTGCGCCCAGGGCGTATTCAAGGAGGCGCTCCCTCTCCACGGTGTAGCAGCTGACCTCTCAAGGAGAAAGCCACGGCCAGACAAAACCCGCGCACGCGCCTCCAAGTGCGAGTTGCCGCGCATGTAGCGCGCCCGCGTTCGGACGAAGCCTCGGGAGCTCACAACTGGCTACGAGAACCAGAAGCCCTCCGAAAAAACAAAGAGAGCGTCTTCTCTTTTCATGGGGTGTGGGTTTTTGAAAGCCACAACATGCACCAAGTTCAACGCCCAAGTGAGACTTATGCTCTGGGAGAAGGACATGGGACTCTGTTCGGCCCAAGCTGCAGCGGAGCAGGAGGCAAAAAAGGCCGCCGCCGACCTCGCGAGGCTCGGCGATTTTTTTTGGCGAAGGAAGCGACGCTCTCAGGTACTGGGGGATGGCGACGCCCTCATGCTCGAAATTAGGCGGTTAGGTGGTTAGGAGGTGGTTAGGAGGTGCTTAGGAGGTGCTTAGGAGGTGCTTAGGAGGTGCTCAGGAGGTGCTTAGGTGGCATGCAGGATGTTCGGTCATCGACAATTGTCGAATCTGCTGGCAGATTGTAGACTCACAAGCTCCAAAAGAAACTGATCCGCAGATTGTCTAACCTTTCCTCAAATGTCCTATGGCCAACCCAGCTCTGGACTCTCGGCACTCCACGCGAGAAACTCGGAGATTCGGGGAAAGGACTACGACTCAAAAATGCTTAGAGTCTCTTAGTCTCACGTGGAAGTGAGGACTTCTGCAGAGTGCTCAGAGGTCGGCCCAACCCCATTTTGCTAGGGCCGGGTCACTCTATTTGCGATCACGGAAATGTTTGGGTCTTCAAAAGCCTCGACAACACCCCCTTTTCGATACTAGACTGCCATTGGCCAAGGCGCGAAAGCCATGAGGATCCAGCCAGCCTGCATCCAGAGGGACTGGAGCCTGGATCCATGGCTACCAGAAGATCCGATCAAAAATGTTCTCCCAGCGACTGATCCAATGGCCAAGCTGCGGGTCCAGCCGGATGACAAAATCCTCTTCGCCTGAAGCATGGCAACTCAAAGCTCATTCGTCGCCGTCGCTCTTGCTGCAAAGGATCTGCCGGTGCTCGGCGAAGGATAGGGTCCACTGTGCTGTGGGCACACATTGTACCTAGCCGGAAACATCATCGCCGATCCCCGACTCGACCAGCTCTGAAATTGACGTTCCGGACCAAGGCACCATCGGTACAGGCAGTCGAAGCGCTCATCTTTGGAGCGCGCGCCTGTGAGAATGTCGCTCCAACACGTCCGCTTCCCCTCATTCACACCTCACAACTTAGGGTTGCAAGCGTTTGTTTCAAGTGGCTGTGGGTCAAAAATAAGAAACGGAACCCTGGTAAATGGCAACATGGCCTAAAGCCCCCGGTGCAATGCCTGGTGCTTTAATTTTGACCCAAGTGAGAAAAGGTGTCAAACGCGAAACAAGTGAAACCATTCGCCGGCGCGAAAATGACCACGTCCCTCCGCTGGTCTTTTTCAAGGCGCTGTCGAAGACCCCACCCCAAGACCCGCCAGGCCTTCGCCATCGGCCTCAAAAAATATACCGCGCCCATCTCGCGGAGCAAATTTTCGCCATGTGGCTGTGGTTGTCACTAGCCCGTTTTGGGATCCCATTTTGGTTGGTAGGTGAATTCACCAACCATTTTTGTCCATTTGGGATTGGGATGTATTTTGACCCATGGCCATGTCTTGACGAAGTGTCCCTCCAGAAACAGAGGCCTTTGAGGATTTCTTCGGGTAACTGGCTGGTTAGGTTCACGGTCAAGTGAGCCTAGCCCAAACTCCGGCCAGGTGGCAGGCGTCGACCTTAGCCGCGTGGCACAAACACCCTTCAGAACTGCAAAGGCAGGCTGCGATTCTCCGCAATATCTGCGATCCGCGATCTGCTTCGATTCAGATTCCAATTGGGTTTTATTGGCTTCTGGCCCAATGTGCGTGCCAGATCAGCTTGACTCGGATTTTGAAGAACTTGAGCAGAAGCTCCAAATGCTCTTTCGTACCTATCCAAAAGCCTAGGGCCACAGGTGGCCATGGGTCAAAACCCAAATCCCCAGTGAACATCCGATTCAATCCAACCACTAAAATAGGTGTCTAGAATGGGTGGTGAATTCACCTACCAACCAAGATGGTATCCCGAAACGGTGTTGACAACCACTGCCAATCAGATAATTTCAACTTTCGACACCACCGAGAGCCAGCATCTGCTCAGCTCGCTGCGCCTCATTCGGGACAAACACCTCGGCAGAGGTCGCGCCGGCCGAAACCATCCGCGCGCTTCGCCTTCTGGCCACCGCCCAGTTCGGCCGAACGAAACGGCTCTGTTGGGAAAGCTCGAAAGTTGCAACAGGGCAGCAAGCACCACCTTCAACAAGAGCACATTTGACCCACCTAGGAACCTGTAGCTCATATTACATGCTACGCGCCGGCCCCAGATGTGAAGCCTTGCTGCCTCCGGTCTTCTTTTTCGGAAGATGCGGAACGATCGCATTCGCAACAGTCAGTCGGAACTCGTGAAACGCTCCTCCCGATCGGCTGTGCCCTTGCATAAAGCTTGAATATACACTCCGTCATTCCAGTGCAACAAAAAGGCTCCTTGTGAAGTTGCTGGCAAGTGACTGATGGGTGAAAAACAAAGCCGTCTTGGTCTTTTTTTGCTAAACCAACACCTCTCCGGCAAAAAACCGCCTGGATGGTTCGAGATGGTTCTTTCAACTGCGGCACTGACCTGAGGTGCATGGCCTTTACGAGTGAGGTCGCTCAATTTCCTTTGGCCTCAGTCGCAGATGGGAGCCACGATGTTCTTGCCCTTGGCGTCTGCCCCATCGCAGTACTCGGTAAGTGCGTCCAGCATCACAGGCGGGATAATGTACTTCCCATGCCTGGCCACAAGAACTGGTTGCCACTGCTGTGACTTGAACTTGAGCTTTCACCCCCCGGAACATGAGATGGATGGAGTTTCGACGTGAGAAACCAAGCACCCGGCCCAAAGCCAAAGGGGTCTCGGCGCTCAGAAACTCCACAAATGTGCGTCAAGGCTCCACGAGGGGAACAGCCTTCCCAGCAAGCTTTCCTCAAAAAGCTCCAGGCACATCCCCTGCCTATGTGAAGAGAACCGAAAAAGTCCCCCCCTCCACCGCAAATGATCCTTCTTGCAAAGGGTTCTAACTTCTAATAAAGAGGGGGAGTGATTTGCAAGATTGATGGCTGGGTGCTAGGGGGCACGCAGTGTGGGTGCTCGTGCAGTTGTTCGCTACTTGGCGTCTATGCTGGTGCTTGACTTGTGAATCGAGACTTGCGCGAACTAGCTACGAATTAGTTCGTAAATATCCTAGCCGCAAGATCTCTTGTACAGGATCCCTGCAACAAATTATGCGCAAAAAAATATGCTCGAAGTACGGATGTCCTTGTCATGAGCGCTTTGCTTCAGATTTCCGTGGCGCACATAGCTCTGACCCCTTCTCACCGCGACCTCGACATCCGATGCCTGGCTTCCACCACCATGGAGGCGATGCCGCCCTCCACGCCCGGCACATCCGCGCGCGGGCCGCTCCGCAGGGTCTTGATGGCGGCCCGCGCCTCGTGGGTGGCGGAGAAGCCCGTGTTGATCTTGATGAGCTTGCCCCCCACCTAAGCCGCTGGATTCACTGCGATTCTCAACCTGTTCCCCCGGAACCATGGTACATGCAAACATGGACTAAAACCTCCGGTCCAATTCCTGGTGGTTCATTTTTGGCCCATCACTGCGATTCTCAACCTGTTCCCCCGAAAAGATGCAAGTGGTACTCCTTGCCGTCTCGCCCGCCTTGGCCTTGGCCGCTGGCTTCACCACTCTGTCGATCGCCTCTGCCGCTGGTCCCGTGAGGCCGTCCAGCACGTTGTTCTGGGCGCGGCGATCGGAACACGTCAGCTGTCGACCCCGTCTCCACCCGCCTTGTTCACCAGGAAGGGCATGTAGGCGCTGGGCAAGCCCAGGAAGTAGTCCTTCACTTCTGCGATCTGCGCGTCAGTGGCAGGTGGATCACACGCCTCAGGGAGAAAAAGCGCAAAAACTTCGCTTGCTCCAGTTCTTCCGCGAACTGACCATCCCCATCCCACACCGATTCGGCCCCACGCGGCCTGCAGCATGCCCCGCACCATGGCCTCCTCCGCCTGGTCGCTGTAGGGCTGACTGAAGTCGATCCACGTGGCGGCCCCCGGCACCGGGAAGCCCAGGCCCGACAGCAAGCTGTGCGTCTGGCGCGGGAGGAAAGAGCGACGGCGCTCGGTGCTTTGGGCGACAGGGCGCAAACAGGTCATGCGAGACTCAATGCGCTGACTCCTAGCCATGATCCCTGTGAACGGAGTGGCAAGAAGCGCCCTGACGCCATGCGGTGGAAAAAAACATCGGTGCAAAGCTGCTCAAGGCTTCAAGTCGCTTCGGGTCCAGCTCCGTCTCTCATTCCGCCTCGGGCTGGATGCAAGCCAACGGGTGCAGCACCACCACCTTGGCCTTGCCCTCCGCTTCCTCGTTGCCCCACTGCAGCAAGACCTCGCACTTCGAAGCCACATGCGATGGTAAAAAGACCCCGGGCCGCTCGGCCGCTCACTTGCATGGCTCGCATCGATCGACTGGCGCCTTTAAGGCTTCCAACTCGTCGTCGTTGGGGAAACTTTCTGTCAGGTCAACCTTGCAGAAGCCAGCCCCATTTGCCCAACATACTGAATGTTGGCCACATGCGCCAAAAGGACAAACCAACCAGGGGAGATTTACCATGACGGGGTCCTGGAATCTGCGGTTGGTCCCGGCCTCATCAAAGAAAAGCACGTCTGCCGACTTGCCGGCGAGGTCGGCTTTGACTTTCTCTTCACCTCAGGTAGAATCACGTCCATGGCAATGATGCAAGCTTGCAAGTGCCGGGTTGATTCCCTTTCTGCCTGGAAGGAAATACTATCCGTATGCACTGATCCTAGATTGGAATTGCACTTGTCACGTTCAGCATTCGGGTCTTGAAAGCAAGTCGCTAATGAAGCATGATGTTTGAAGCGCTCACTCACCGCAGGAGCAAAGGACTGTGGTCGTTTAGGCGTGGGCCCACCGGTGGCCAAATATTTGAACCAGGAACGCACTTGCCTTTCTGGCAACCAATCCAGTTTCCCATCTGCAGTGAGATGGGTTTCTGGATACACCCCGCTGCAACAGGCCAGGGACCCGTTGAGGTCTCTTTCTCATGCAGGTCTTTGGCCCATGTCCGAGTTGGAGCGCAATCCGTGCGAGTGGGTCCTGCCACCTCGCTCCGTTCGTTCGCCGCCCGGCCCCGCCCCGCGCAGGATACCAAGACGAGCCGCTGGCCTTCAGGAGAGCCAGCTGGTCGGCCTTCAAACGGCGTAGCCGGGGAGTTTTGGGATGCAAAGGGAAACCGGAGACGGCCCGTTTTGGGATCCCATGTTGGTTGGGCCCCGGTGAATTCACCGCCCATGTCAGAGACCTATTTTAGTGGTTGGATGGAATGTTCACTGGTACGATTTTGGGATATAACCCATGGCCATATGGGTCGCGCTATTGTGGCACAGACCCACGCAGGCATTGGCTCTTGAATCCAAACAGAAGGCACCCAATTCCCGGTGCCTTCACGGAAGTGTTGTAGGCACCCTTCTCCAGGCCCCTCTCATTGAGGTACCAGCTGCGCAGGTCGAAGCTGGCCTTAAAACACGGCAAGCTCAAAACTGGAAGCGAGGCCGAAGCACAGGGAGCTCCAGATCTGCCGATTGACCCAACCGCACCCGGGGCTTCCAACCTGAAGCCCAGACTTGGAAGATATACCGAAGCTCAGCCCAAATCATGGCCAAGCGGTAGGTCGAAAACGTCCGCAGGACTCAGACCAACGAAATGCTCATAGGGAGCCAGTGCCCATGGCCCCCTTGACAGGCAACCAATTGGCAGCTTCGGTCCGCCTTGCTCTTGCGCGTGTTCTCCATTGCCAGCAAAATGGTCTCGGTCTTGCCGGCGCCGCCGGCGCCCACGACCACCATGTTGGAGCCTAAAGCCCACAGCCCACTTGCCCCCAACGACACTCCCTTATGTTCATTGCATGCTGCTCTGCCTGTTTTGAAGCCGTTCTCCAAGCGGAACAGCACACTGCTGGGGTCCTGCGACAAGAGCTCCGCCGCAGTGGCAAAGCGGCCTGCTCGAAAAAACACCGCCTGCTCGAAACACGACATTCCACAGGAGCATTATACAGGAGTGGCAGGGGGAATGCTGCAAGGATTGCATTTGCTTTGAGCTACTCACCTGCTCCGTGATTCATCTGGTTTCTCTAAGTCTAGAAGACATTCCAACAGTTTGACACCAAGAACATGCAATGCTGCAAGGGAGAAGGTTGGGATCAATGACTGGATGACGTCACGCGTGGGTCCGCAACGACGGCGCATGTCAAGACAGCGGCTCTATCAAGGCCAACGAACCATTTAAAAGATCCCGGTATGGCGCGCTCCAGACCCGCCCGCCTTCTTTCTCTGTGTAGAAGAGCGGAGTGCTGGAGAGCTTCTCCCTGGCGACTAGGACGCGAGAGAGCCTGCCTTCAAAGCCTGCTCACCCTCCATCCAAGGCGCTCGTCGATCAGCCGGTGGAACTCCGTCAAGGCTCCGAGCCTCTCCACCTGAAGCTTTAGCATGGAAGTCAGGAGTCTAGGGTGGTAATTGGTTCACATATGAATTGAAGGCTGGTCTCTTGGGGGTTGTGGGCTGATTTGCGTGGATTTGGGGTGGCTTCGTTGCTTCATGTGTCACCAACATGAGAACGGCCTCTAAGTCGAGATGCGCGTGAAGCTGCTCGTTGCGAAGTGCCAGGGCGGTCGGCAAGAGCAGCAGGCGCCACATTTCGCAAACGACGAGTGATACTGGTTCGGATGCAGCTAAAGCCGAGAAGTGGATGCAGGACGCATGGTCTCAGTAGCTCACACGGCGCAAACTCAATCAACATCTGACAGTCGCATGAACTCGCGAGAAGAGTCAGGAATAGATGCGCTGCAGGCCTGCCTTAAAACTGGACCCACGCTGCACCCGGTCTTCATTTCTCTGCCACGAGTCATCGCGACATCCAAATCAATTGGGTCTGGAATGATCTTCCAACCAGTCGCGTCCTGGCGCGGAGCCACTCCGCTTTCGTTATGTCTTGCATTATGTCTTGTAAAGAAAAGCCGAAGTGCCCCTCTCGCAATGCACCACTACAGCTGTCATAACCTCAGCCCTTTCCACTATC